TTCTTTATATTTTACCCATACATATTTTATCAGAATAAGCACTCAAGATGTAGAAAACTGCAAAACGCAGACTAGGCTGCCAGAGGCATATTTTAGAGTTAATATATACACAGCTGGTAAAATGATTATATTACTACGAAGAGAGACTTTTACTAATTCTGGAAAAGATTCCAGTTAAAGACAGTACAGTCACAAATATGCTAATAATCGAACCAGTACGTTATACTTATATATGAAAGTTTTATTTTGTTTTTCACTGACAGAATAAAATATAGGTTAAACCCCTAAATTGAATTAAAATAAAACTAATAGTACTAGAGTTTTTCTGATGGAGTTTGCTTGATGTCCCCAAGTCTACAGAATTGGCTAAGGATTAGTATATTTGTTAGCAGTCACGTAATGTCAGTGGAAATCAGCTATAGTCATTATTATAAAAGTTTCTCTTTTATTATAATCCTCTCTTTAATGGCTGTCAGTGTTCACCCACATGCAGTTTGAGCTCCGTGAATCATGTATTCAGGGTAGGGTGGGCTTAGACAATTAGCTCTCAGTGACAGTAACCCCTGTGGATTCTCAGGTGCTTGAAAGCATAAATGGTTGTCGTGAAGAATGTGCCTCTCCAGTGCAATGGAAAATAAATAATAATAATAATAATAATAATAATAATAATAATAATAATAATAATAAACTTTATTTTATATAGCGCCTTTAAAGATGGCTTCTCAAAGCACTTATTGGAATGAAATTATTGGAATGATGACGTCTGAAGGTCTCGCAAAGAACCTCCAGGCTCATGTCTTAGAAGACCTTAGTTCTTGACTGCATAGACAGTTAATTAATTTAAAAACAGGTCTCATCAAAATGCAGTCATTGCTTTCATAAATAAGATGGGAAGGTTTTCTGGACATTCCACTCAAAGCGCTTTACAGGTAATGGGGACTCCCCTCCACCACCACCTGGATGATGCAATGGCAGCCATAGTGCGCCAGCTATCAGTAGGGAGGACAGCAGAGTAATGAAGGCAATTCATAGATGGGGATTATTAGGAAGCCATGATTGGTAAGGACCAATAGGAAATTTGGCCAGGACACCAGGGTTACACCCCTACTCTTTTTGAAAAACGCCTTGGGATTTTTAATGACCACAGAGAGTCAGTACCTCGGTTTTACGTCTCATCTGAAGGACTGCGCCTGTTTACAGTATAGTGTCCACATCACTATACTGGGGCATTAGAACCCAAATGGGCCGCAAGGTGAGCGACCCTTTCTTCCAGCAGCAACCTAAGTTTTTCCCAGGAGGTCTCCCATTCAGGTACTGAGCAGCTTAGCTTCAGTGGGTTGCCAGGTGTGAGTTGCAGAGTGATATGGCTGCTGGCCTTATTAGAGCACTGGGCCACCACAAGCCACCAGAACAGCTTCAGTGCGCCTTGGCATAGATTTTGCAAGTGTCTAGAACTCTTGTTATAGGGATGCGACACCATTCTTCCATGAGAAATTCCATCATCTGGTGTTTTGTTGATGATGGTGGAGAATCCTGTCTCAGGTACCACTCCAGAATTTCCTATGAGTGTTCCATTGGGTTGAGATCAGGTGACTGGGATGGCCCTGGCTTTCATTGATTTTCATTGTTCATCAAGATTCACAGTTGAGGAGTATGTGCTTTCGTCCACAGTTACGCCTAGTGGATGATGGCTTTCCCTCAGATTTCCACGACAACATGACATTAACCAATCAGCAAGCCGAGCGGTTTTTGTCACTGAAGCTCCTGCCAAACGTGGTCCATTCATCACCCCCCTCTCAAAAGTCACAAAAATCTCTTTTTCTAGCCATTGTAGCCAAAATATTGGGCAGCAGTTTTATACATATTTGCTTAATTAATCAGGAACCACACCTGTGTAGAAGCACATGTTTTCGATATAGTTCTGTTGTAACAGCATTTGTATCATACATTTTCACATTTTCTTCTCGTTTTACTTGTAAAAGTATCTGTCAAATGAAATGTACAAAGTAGAATTTCTGATATTGATTTTTTTCTGACAGTTATTTTACTAATGATCTAGAAGCCAAATCAAGTTGGTGTCTGCACACTGTGATTTGTCAAAAGTATCAAAAATCAATTTGCCCAACATCAGATGAAGAAACATTGTCAAAACATTTGTCTACAAAACGTAGTGTTGCAATGGAACTATCAATCATTCCTCAGGTGTGTTTTGTATGCGAGAAGCCTGGTTTAACAAGAAATGGTGCTGCAACATCACCTAAATGATGCTGCCAGAAGATGACAATATTAATAAAAAAATCAACATACCAAATCCGACACACTGCTTTCAAAGTGAAGACCTCTGCATTCCTCTACATTCTCTACATTTGTTCTGAGAAGAAATTCATTTTTTCCCAATACTCATCCATGTCCTACCTTGCAGTACATTCTTAACAGCATAAGCTATAATGCCACATTTAAAAATGTAACCCCTCAATCAGGCAGCATTTTTAACAACGTACAACATAATCATCTGCAAAACTATTAAAAAATATTCAGAGATTTCATGATAGCACCAACAAATACAAAGTCAATGTATGCCTCTAATTTGTAACAAATTCGTTCAGCAACAGTAGAAAATAGTACTATACAGTCAGCAGTGGCTTTAAGAGCAATCAGTGTTGCAAAGTGACTACACAAGCCCTAATGATCTGCTATTGTTCTTTGTGTAATAAATATCTACAGTATACAGTATATCTACACACAGTAGTTCAGGTGGGTAGCTGCATCAGCATGCGTAGGCTGCAAAGGAACAAGTAATAGGCTTATTCCATGCTGAAAAAAAGAAGAAAGAGAACACAACGTTCTCTTTCGTTCATATCTACACATAAAGTAGAACAGCCAAGAGTAAAATAGGCAGGTAATGTTCTTAAACTTGTACTGTATTTTATATCTCAAAACCTAATTATTTTCCCAGTTCTAAGACGGGTAAGATGGGTATATGTTATTAACACTGTTGTTCAGACATAGTTATATAGATAAATTGTATATTGATTTAATTAAGAAATTACTGATTATATGTTAATTAAAACTGAAATAGATTATGTCTCTTGTGCTAGGTTTAGCTGATTATATTCACCTCCCACTAAATCATTTTGTGGCGCTTTCTCCCAGAGTAGATTTCCCAATTATTTTGTTTTCACAATTTACAAATAATCCCCCAGTATTTATGTGTAGGATTTTTATTATTATTTAGGACACATGCAGTGCTTAATTTCATTTGTACAAAAGAAAATCTGTCAATGTTCAGAACTGGAATAGTTGTTTTCGCTTCTTCCAAAAAAAAAGAACTTCCCGAATGCTCTCTAGAAAATATTCTTATTTTTATTGTTTTTTGTATTGGTTTCAATTTATAAGATGACCAAAGGTAACCACTGAAAACTCAGATGACAATTAGGAGAGAGTTTAACAATAATGTTTATATTACTTGTGGTGTTTCTGAAGCGAGTGAGTGATATGTTGTGAACATCTATAAGCTATAATCCTATCAAAAGCTCTTAATTCTACCCTGACAAGAAATGGTATTGTATTTCATCAGTAGAGACTGCAAACTGACTACTAGGAACAAGACAAACCAATACTAAGATTATTACTGGTACAGTAACATATTACCTGTGGCCACAGCAGGTTTCTATCAGAGATAAGTAGTTACTGGCATGATCGTCTCATCCTCTTTTCAAATACCTTGCTTGCTGCAGCAGTACGAGTAAATCTCAAGAGACATCTAATGTCTTCTCAGCAATTCTATAAAAGGAGGCAATGATAAAAACAACTGAGTAATTTGATCTGCATTTAACAGAATCCCTCTCTAATGCTTTTTTTCCCCATACCTCCTCATGCCCTGCCTTGCAATGAGGCCTTAAAGTAATTTGTGCCACTGTGGAAGTGCATCTTGATCTTTTTAATGTGCGTCAGAGGACAATGCTTTCAACAGAGATCGTTGTACAATATGGCCTCTATTCATAGAGACATTTGTCATCCCAAGAGCATGAACAATCTCAACAATAAACTAATGCCGTAACATTTGCAAAGGATCTACACTATTTAAAAATAACAAGAAGTATACTGTATGATGCTAGACTAAACAAGATAGAGAGGTTTTAGAGCACCTTTTACACATTAAGGAAAGATTAGTTTTCTGTCGTGCAACTTCATGATGAATGTCTCTGTGCTAAAACTTGACATTTATACCAAAGGTCTGAAAAGCAAGGGAAAAGGGTGCCTCCCCTGACTGCATCTTCAAATGTCATACCGAAGTAAAACTTTATGTTTTCTAATGACTAGGACGTCATGGAAAACCACAATGTGTCATCCATACCTGATGCATTTAACATGCTTAATGCATTTAATCTGTTTACTGTGCTGCAAACTGCTGCAGGTTTAAAGTTGTCAGCAATACTACAGGAAACAGAATATGATAAATTCAGTTCGAACGTATCCTTAAATAATTTGCAAAAACAAAACACATCCAGCCAACAGCAAAATACTTTAAGCTAGGAAGCATTGTTTTATTATTTAAGCTTTGATGAAATACATACCAAGTTCAGATGTTTTTATTAATTAATGCCTAGCCAATAAATACAAAAATTCTTAAATATTGTTCATACTCTTTATTTAGAGCCACACACCCTTTTATAAAGGGGCAATTATGAATGTACACACACCAATCTGCGCTTTAGATTTTATGTTGCTACTCTCAAAGGAATCAGTCCTTGGTACTATTATATTCACTAGTAACAGGTCCAAAAACCTATTTTAAATTATGAACTTTTTCTATGGTGCTGTATTTACATGTATATGATCTTTTTTTCCTGTTATTACAGTGTAACAAAAGAGAATTTCTGAGCTTACAGAAAAGTAAAAACATGGTCTGAACATAATTTTAAAAAAATACAAAGAAATGTTTCCATGTGCCATTACTCATCTCGAAAGTTCATAAGTGTGTGTTGTCTTGGCAACAGGTTGTTTGAAACCCATCCAGAATGCAAAGATGTTTTCTTCCTGTTCAGAGATGTGGAAGATCTTGAGAGGCTACGCGCAAGCAAGGAGCTGAGAGCTCATGGACTCAAGTCAGTGCTTTTGACTATTTATTAGACATTTTAATTCTCCATTCTGCAATCTGGCTCTATTGAACTACAGCAATTTACATGGAGAGTGAAAAAGGCTTTGTGAATAAAGAATTAAGTACTAAAAAATAACAGACGAGTTATACAATAGTCTGTTATAATTTACAGAGCAAAAATTCTTATAATTTTTACTAATTGTCTGCATAATGAAAAAAAAAGTTAAAAACTTTTTGGATTCAAACAATAATATGACCTTTTTCTGCCTTGATTTAGAATATATACTAATATCTTTGTAATAACAGGGACTTTTGTTTCTTCCACTGACACCAGAAAACATGCCAATAAATAGCTGCAAAGGAAAGTCAGTTCATAGTAGCAAAGAGACGCATCACAAATGAAAATGGAACTTTCTGATTAATGAATATTTGCTTTTTCAGTAATAGGATGCTTGTATTTTTTAGAAAATATTATTTCTAATAAGTGGATTAAAAAAACTCCCCTCCTGATGTGATCTTCATCAAAGATATAGGTCCACAAAGCAGCTACATTACAATAGCACAGCAACTCTGGTTAAATGAAAAGTCAAGTAGTTCTCAAACTCGTTCAACAGATCAACACTGTCAAGTTTCACTCCCTCAATCCAAATACTCTCACTAACAAGAGCCTGATGTGGAACATGCTGTTTCACTTCATATGCATAAATTATATAAACCCTTGCTTTACTTCACTGCCTTTCAATTTTCCAGTCAGCACTGAGTGAAGGGAATTATATTCAGAGATTGGGGATTTAGTATTCTGGTGCCTTATTCTGTTGGCATTGTTAAAAAAAATGAATGAAAAAAATAATACATTTAAATGTGTTTTCAGTTCATTTTTAAAGCTTTATATGGAGTCATGATACAAAAATGTCTAAAGAAGGTATTGCTGATGTGCTTTGGGTGTAAATTATTGCATTATATGGAACAAAGCCAATGGCTCCTGCTTATTTTGCTGATAGCAGACGTACATTGTTTTGCTTTTCCCTGGTATGCCGTTACTGCTCCAACTCTGTTGTGAGGCAGACAGTTCTGTTGGTCTTCTGTTTAGCAGCTGGCTGTCAACATTGGCAACAGCAGAAGATGGGGTCATGTCATGCAATTCGACAAGCCTGCTTTACCATACAGTATGTCTGGATTTTGGATGAAAACTGCCCTAATATTACTAAAAGACATTTTAGGAAAACACCAGATTTTGAGCAGTTATTTAAAAAAACTAACATCTTTTTTCAACACATGATATGAAATTCATACCCAGCGAGAGTGATTTAATCCATCTAAAACTCACAGAAATGTGACTGTAAACCATACTTTTCTTTTTTATAGAGACTCAAAGACACGAAAGAGATTTTCATTTTTTAGAACACATTCTATACCCTGATTATTGACACCAATTGGCAAAAAATTATAAAATTGATCAAATCCAAAGAAGCCTTTTCATAGACTATGTTTGAAGAGTGTTTTTAAATATTCCTCATTATTCAAACATTCAAACTTATTACACTACCAAGCCTCCAAAATTTCACAACACTTCACAATTCCTTAGGTGCTTGAAAGACCTTCATACACATTTACCTAATCTGTAAATTCACTATCATATTTACTTCACAGCAATTAGTAAAGCTAATAATTAAAGCAAAAACATTTTGTATGTTAGTTGACATTTAGGTGAAGAAACAAACATTCCCATTTACACTTAAACACCTCACGATAATACCACAGCCTCCCTTCCCATTGAAAACAAATTAGAAAAAAATCAACTACTTTACAAGACAATGGAGATTAATAAGATTTAACATTTCTATCAATTAACTGCTTTATTTACCCTAGCTGGAACACAGTATATCCCAAAAATGCTATTCTGCCTGTCAAAAACGCTTTCGGTTCAGGTTTATTTCAGCATTTTTTCTATTTCTGCTTTCCCAAGTTTATATTGCCGCCCACTGTTACTAGTCAGAAAGCGAAACGGAAAACAACATATTGTACAGTACAATGTGATCAGAATGCACATGGTGTTCATTCAACTGAGTTGGCCATGACACCAATCTGGAGATTTTGTTGAACATAAACTTTACCAGCACATCACTGTGCACATTGCCCTTGATTGTTCAGTGTATTTGTATTTAATGTTGATCTCTAGAATATTTTATGGATAAAGACTCAGATTCCAAAAGCTAAAGAAGCCTGGGCTAGTAAGGCCTTGGAAACCTCCAAGAAAAAGCAGATTGCTACAGTAAGTGGTGTTGGTGGACCAGTATGTGGCGTACTTCCCTCTGGATCAGAATTTCCAAATCTAATGCCTTATTATAGTGACTAGGGACACAATGCTGTTGTCACGCCCTCTACAGCTAGAGGGCACTCCTACTTTGTCCTGTTACTAGTGTTCCAATGCTTTGCTTGTCCTTCCAGTGTGTATTTGTGTGGGGCTATATATTTCCAGGTCACCCTTTCCTCCTCGCTCAGCATTGAGGGCTCGGATGTCTTGAGACCCACCTAGCACCAGGTTGTCTCCTCCGCGGCCTGAGGGAATAGGTTTCTACCTGATATTTTCTAACCTCCTGAGCCCGGGCTAACCCCCATTTTGCCACTACGCGTAGGTTTTTTTTTGCTCTCCTGGCCATTCCACGGCATGCCCCTTCCGACATGCGTGACAGCTGTCAGACAGTGCTGTCTTTCAGATTAGCTGATAAACTGAGATACAGACCACTCGGCCATGAAAGATCCCATGGCACTTCCTGAAAAGAGTAGCCCCAGTGTCCTAGCTAAGGTCTACTCAATCTGTTCTTCTGAAAGTTCCACTTAATTCGATGGTGAAGCAGTTTCACGCTTCTCCAACTGATCTGTTGACGTCACCCAGGTGGTGATCCCTGTGGGGATCCTTGGGGATAAAAAGTGCTATATTAAGATTTCTATTACCAGTCCTGATATTCCCACTAAAGTTTACTTGTTAAAGATGGCAGATGAAAAATTATCACCCTTGGTGACTTCCATGTCTGTTTCTCCCCAGGAAATATTGGAGTCAGAAAATATACCACTTACTTAATTGTGTGCAATACAAACAAATGCATTTTTGTTGCTTATGAGCACAAATATACAAATGAATAAAAAAATTTGAAACAACTACAAATAATAATGCACTGGAAACAGCATTGCAAAGTATTTGTATTAAGGAATTGGGATCAAGATTAATAGGAACAGGATCCTTTGTGTGAAAATTTCAGCTTGACATTAACCAGGTCACCTTTTACTACCCAACACTGATAAAATAATCATTAGTAAAAGTATGTGTTACAGTTATGGTACTGTGATTTTTAGCATCTATGGCTAGATAACTATTTAGTGTGAATATTGGTGGATGCATACTGTACTATTAGCATTTTTTTAACTTCATGTTCCAGAACTAAAAAGGGAATACCCCCCTAGGGACAATCACATCTCAGAAACCACAAGGAGTTGACTGCTCACATTTCTGCTTGTATTTTATTTAAAATCACTTTTACTAATCTTGTGGCAGTTTTCGGAGATGTATCGTATGTACACAAGAACATTAGAATTGTTACACATGAGAGGAGAATATTCGGCCCATCTGATAGTAGCAAATTGATCCAAGGATCTTATCCAGCAGTTTCTTGAAAGACAGGATATCAGCAATTTCGTCATCTTTTTGGGTTCAGTGCCACAGAATAACAGATGAAAATCAAACACTATTTTTTTCTTAAACTAAACTCAGCATTAAGTGCTTAGAATTCTTATAGAGTATTCATGAATAAAATTGCATTAGTAATCCTGTACTGTTATTTGATACTGTTGGTTCATCACCTTGGTAATATTGTATAATGGGCTTTGTGAAATGTTGTATAAATGCTATTATTCCTTTATTGATGGAGACTGCTCATACAGAGTCCAGAAAGGCCTGCACAATTTCTGCATCACGTTGGTCTTTCTGTCGGCTTCAGAGTGATGTCCTTCATTGAGAAGACTGTGGCTAGATTAGACCAGCTAGACCGCTTGGACCAGTTGGCACTGGAGTTGGGAAAGAGCCACTATCGATACAATGCTCCTCCGAAGTACTATGGGGTAGGAAATTGTGCTTAATTTAAAAGATAAAGACACCCATTTTGTAACGTGTAAAACCATACAACCTCATATCCCATCACAAATGTAAGTTTAATTTGCTATCTATATTAGAAGTATACTAAGGGTTAAAAAATCAATGAGTCTGAATTTAAATATAGCTGCAGTGGTGTTAAAAAACAACATTTAAAAAACTCTAATTTAATATATCGTAAGGCAGTATTTGACTAAAACTAATATTGTTACTTACTACAACTGAGGTATAAGCGAAACAAAAGTGTGATCACTACATACTGTAGTAAGTCCATCTAAAATGTAAAGTTGCTAATTAACTGTATTAAGTAAAATTCATCCATGTGTGGATCATCAATAAACCATTTCAACTGGGACACGGTACTCTAGAGTATTAGAGTATTAGTATTGGCTGATACTATATGAAAATCTTGGACAGGTAAGCTTTAAGGTTCCTTAAGAATTGTTGTTAGAGCAGTAACTGTATAAAGGTGGTCTGAATTTCAAGTAACATGATATTCAAGGTCAGGGTTAGAAAAATCAAAGGACGTAGTTTAAATATTGTTATAGTGGTTTTTTAAATGGTCAAATTTAGAATGTAGGAGGTTCAGTTTGACTATAACACCTTTAGTAAGGGCCTATTTTGGGGTTAAGATTAGGCCTAACAATGATATAAAAAAGAGTCCTAAAAAACAAAACTGAAGCAAAGAATAAATGAATAAACTAATATTTATATTGTATTTTATTTCAAATAAATCTAACAAAGAAAGAAAATGTTGTCAAATTTTTTTAGGTTTATGGTTTGAATTGTATAGTGTTAAAACCTCTCTCGTTAAATAACAGTTTATAACAGAAATAGAGGATTGCAATACATTTTAAGATGCATTCTTAATTAGGACAAGGCACTTCATTCAATTCCTAAATTTACCCACATAAATGACTACTTTTAATGAGAATCTCTTTCTCAGATAAAGACCTGTGAATTGAAAATACTGAGGTGAAAGTATAATAACATGCTTAACTAGAGCAGCAGAGCATTGAAATATTTCTCGAAGATATCAAAGGCTGCTGAATTCCTTGATACAACACTTTAAAGTAAGAAACATCTGCAAGGTGATTTATCATGTTTAGTAAAGCTGTCTGAGAGACTCACACAGCTGATAAAACAGGATAAAGATCTATTCACATTCACTCTTATTTAAGAGACTTAACTGTTCACAAATTACTTAGTTCACTGAGCTGAATTGCGTTATCCTATTTAAGAAACTTACTGTAAACTGTTCACAAATTACCTAGTTTACCTAGATGTTACATTGTCTTATTTAAGAGATTTAATTCTTCACAAATTACCTAGTTCACCTAGATTAACTGCATTGTCCTTCAGATCCAACTTTTATCAGTTCCTAGGTGTGGCATGGATACACAAGCCCTTTTTTAGACCAAGAAGAGTTTTAGAGTTGACAGTTTCCACTCAAAAACATCTCAGGTGTTTACATTTCTGACAGAGCAGCCCCAAACCAACTTGGAGGTGCTCTTTTCAAAATCCCCTGTGGTTTCAATCTAGTTGTACACAACGTAAGTGATCAACTTATTTTAAAAATCAAAAACAAACTGAACTAAAGCTGCTTCTCTTCAAGACTTCCACTTTCCAATCATTAGATATGGATATCTGTTAAAACAAAGAAATCTTGTTTGATATTTTTAACAGATGACATCATGAATGTAAAAGTCTGTGAGCACTGCCTATGGTGTTGCAACTTTTAAAATTGATAAACCTGATTTAAAAAAAATCCATTAACACCTGTTATGCTATTGTGAATTGTAAAGTGGTAAAATGTTCAATGGTAAACTCTATCCAAAATGTTTTCAAATTAGGAGTGGTAAGCTTTAAAATGACTTTTTTTCAGTATGTGGGGACAGAGTTTATCTGTGCTGTCCAGCCAATCCTGAAAGAGAAGTGGACCTCCGAGGTCGAGGAAGCTTGGCAGGTAAAAATCTGGAGCCCTCGGAATCGATAGAAACTGCAAAACTGCAAACAGACCATTAAAGAGAAAAATTTGAAGGCTGTTTACTAAATTAATTATTTGCAGGAAGAGGTATTTACAATATACATACTTTCCTTACTAAAGTGGAGAGTGTGTGAAGGAAACATCATGCTAAGAGGAAATTTATTAAGCCTCCTTAGGCACTGGCTTTTTAAAAAAAGATGTTCTGCTATCCTGTCATGACACGGTTATGAACACAAACAGCTGGAGGTGCCCGTGGCCTACAGTAGCTATACACACTTTATCTATAAATCACCCTTATTAAATATTTAAGGTCTGAAAAGCATTCTGCAATTTTTCTGAAAACTATTATAGTGAACACAGGGCACCATTTTCATAAAAGATATATTCATGTCTTACAGTAAGAAATTAGTTACCATACAATATTGGAAAATAATAAAGAATCACGTTGACAAAGTCATTTACAACATGACAGGTTTTGAAATAAACCATTGAACTCTTACTAAATTAATGTGGCTTCTGAATTTGTTCATATATTTGATGAACTACAGTATAACAAAAAGGTGATTTAGAAAAGAAAATGCAGGTGTACAGGTACTGTACATCAAGATTTTTCAACATTTATAAAACAGTGATCATATGTGAAAATGAGTACTGAAAATACTGATAATGATATTATGATGTATATTTCTAAACTCATAATGTTCAGCTTTATTTAAACCTTGTCACTATGTTGAGCATAAAGCTGTTAATTCAATTGTTTCTAGCAATTATAGTAAAGATTACAAAAAGCCATAAAATATCCCAATTTTGATTGTGGTTCACATCTGTAAGAAGACTAATGGTATAGTTGTTGCTCTACCAAGAGGGGAACATGATTGTTTTACACAAATGTAGAGCCAGAAATGTAATTTAGAAGGATAAATTACATATAACAGGAACATTTAGATATTATAAAAAAAAAACATCATGAATCATCAATGATCCCACTAGTGGCCCCATCAGTGAATTTGGGGTCTATGACAAAGTTCCATGATAAACATTAAAAAGAAAAGACATGCATTAGCCAAGCAACAATATTGACTCCCAAGTCAAACAAAACTCAAATTACGTTTTAGACAATGTCAACAGGTGTATGATCAGCACAAAGACAAAGGTCAAGTTGAAAAAAGACCAATATCTCTGTTATGAAGAACAGAAATTGATCTGATCTGCTTTTGGGATGGTTTGCATCCTCTGATCTGATGTTTTAATTAGTACAGAAGAATATATGGATTACAATGTTTACGAAGCTATTTTAGTCAACAATTAGTGCCTTCTGATGTACATTTCAAACTTTATTGAATAAGGATTTTACAAAAGGATAACAATACAAAGCATGCATCAAATCCAATGTCATGATGAATAGCATGAATGACTTAATGAAAGAAGAGTTAAGAGGGCACAATAAAGTATTCTTAGTATAAAATACTGATTTCACACTGGGATTTTCATTTTTCATGTACAGTAGTTACAGTTCAGTAAGGATAGTAACAGTTACAGTCAAAAAGGATATTAAGACATTTGGAGGCTATTATAATCGCAAACATTTTTAGGAAAAATGTTACTTTTACTAATTTTATTTCAAATTTATTGATATTTATTAAGCAACCCATTTGACTTACCTGAAGATTTATACAGAACAATGACCGTCCATCCTATGTGGAATGCAAGAATGTTTTCCTAAGAAGAAAAAAAAGACTTTAGATCAATAAAGAATTTATTGTAGATCAAAAGAAGCTGCATTCCTACAGTAGAAACATTCTACAGTATTAGGGCTGATGGAGGTCACTTACAACATGCTTTGCAGCCTTTGATGTTTGGCAGGTCTCAAAACTGCACCAGCACCTACAGTGTTTGCCGACAGCTTAATTTAGATAAACTGAATCATTGAGAAAACAAGGACAGGTTTGCTTCATGATGATTAATGCATATTTTAAAATTGAGGAAAAACAGTATTAGTTCTGCTTTGGACACTGTCATTTCTGCAAAGAGATGTTTAGTATAGAGTGGCCCGCTTAAGGACTAAATTGAAGTACACCAATTTTCTTCCCTTTGTAAACAGTGACCCCAAGTGGCTTTAGATTTAAGATAAAACATATCCTATGCAATGGTTTCCTTTTTATAAAGATTGGCACCTGCAAAATATTGATAAATTGAGCAAAATATCTACTTAACAGAATTTTGGTCCACAATTACAAAACAGAATACAAATGATCTCTAAATTACGTCAGTTTTTCTGTTTTGCAGATTACTTGCTTTATTGATCAATAACTATGACATTGTTCCACTTGTGTGCATATTGGTAATTTAACGGTGACCTACAAAACCCGATAGATTTGTGTTGTCCAAGACAAAAGATTGAGAGCAGTCGTAGCAAATTCTTAAAGCTAATTTGATGTGGACTAACTCCAGGCCTGGAGGGCCAGTGTGCCTGCAAGTATTCTTTCCAACTTTGCACTTGAAGACATTTATCAGCTTGTTATTAATTGGAAACGCACACCATCTTAAAAAAAACTAAACAATCTGCAGACACATCAGCTCTCAAGACCAAAGTTGAAGCACCCTGACAGCTACTTGTACAGTATATAGATCTGTATCAATAAGCAATACAAAAAGTTTTCCCCACTGTACTTACTGTATATGCTCATGGTTTATATTGGAAGCAAAGCTACAAGACATTGGTGAGTTAATATTCTGCATTTTGTGTTTATCACATAAATACATAACTCCTTTTAAAACCATGGACCTCTGTAAACATAGATATTTGCATCCAAACTATCTGTCTTAGCACCGATAGATTACACACAAAAAAGCATTTTGTCACAGTGGTATGGAGAGTGTCGCTCTCCCACATCCAAGTAGGAGTGTAGGCTTGTATCAAAGGCACCTTGGTTCCCAGAAGAAAGGGTCCCACCCCTACTGCCTGCTAACTGGAGTCAATTGTAACATTACTGTGGAGCAGCTCTTCCATAAAACCTATAGCTAAGACATGGCAGTTGTCTTATGATTGTGTGTGCTCTTAAAAGTCTGTCATTGAACACAAAAGGCCTAAAATATATTAGGATTGTGGGCCACGTGTGTACTGGTATTTTAATGCAACTTTCCATGTTGACATCCATGCTATTATTTGTATTATTGTATTTTTCTTTTAATGCCATACCATACTATATGTTAGAAGGTTGGAAGGAACAGGGCTGGTGTTTGTTGAATTTTGATTAGTCATGAGCTGTGGCTATATAAAATGAAATCGAAATGTAAAAATCCAATGTTTGACCAATGCTGAGACCGAGCATATGGTGATCTGTTGTTGTTTTTTTTTTATCACTAGATATACTGTATTTCTAGCAATATGAAAAAACTGCAATCTTTTCCCAAAATGAATGAAAAAACTTTGTTTTATACTTATAATGTCCAACTCATTTTTAGAAATTTAACTAAAGTGAGTTTTATGGTTAACCCTACATCAAAATATCTCTCATGCAGCAGCAGGTAGATATGTAATAATATAGAATTAAATTCACTAGCTTACAAACATGTGTATCTCTTTACTGTAGGACTGCATGCTGTCTTTAGGTGATCTTTAACATAAAGACTTAATGACATAAAGACAGTATAATTCTCTAATATAATTAATTCCCGTGAGATGGTTTTACCAAATATACTAAAGCAATTTTTAAAATCTATGATTAAATTTATGATTGTACTCAGTTAAATATAGTAGGCAGACAGTACTTAATCTTTAATGGTACGTCATTTCAAATCAGACTACGCAGTCAAAAGACTGTAACATAAATTAAAAATCTGATTCTGATATATACGTATGGGTGCGTCTGGCTAAAACTAGCCCTGTATAGTATCATTAAAAGAGCCAGAACCTCTTCACCCCACTCATGCAATTTTCCCAAAACAGGTATTGTATTCTTGACAGAAAAAAAAAAAACATTTTAAAAGAATGTGTTACATGAACACGAATAAACGTTTCATTGCTCAACAAGAAAACCATGTTCTAAACGTAATCGTAACGTACGTAACTGACACTTTAAAATGCAAAAAAAGACGCAAAATAGTTGACACCATTTACGGAATTTGCTTGAAGAAAACAGTTCTTGCAGGCTGCTGTCAGTTTCAGTGTAACATATTATTATTATTATTATTATTATTATTATTATTATTATTATTATTATTATGACTTTGAAATAAATTGGTATACTTGCCTTTCAGTGTTGTTACTGTAAACCTGTTCACTTTGAATGTCTAGCACTAAGTCTCAAAAGCGATACAAGGGGATTTATTTCATTTGCTGCTCTTTTTCTGGAATAATCCCGAGGAACTTATACAGCCCAAACCTTACAAATAGTACTGTATAAGGTCTTTTAGGTCACGATTTAAGCAGAGCTATAGAGAACCTGTACGGTATGTAATTAAGGAAGGATTCCTATCCTGACCCCTCCTCCCAAACACAAGATCAGACGTTAACGTGTGGATAAAAAAATAATTCCCCTTTCCTCTGAGATCCAAGTATTGTTTTTAAGTATTGTTTCTGAATTATATAAACACTAATTCAAATTAAATATCAAAACCTAACATTATGCTTTGTAAACAACATATTTTCTGAAGATTTCCAAATAATCTTTCATTCACAATAGCTAGACAAAAATCAGGTTAATCAAATCCACAAAGAGTAGTACTTCAACACGTTCAGACTTTAAATGGCCACTTCTCATAACTACAGACGATTTTATCCAATGTTTATGGAAAGATTAATCTGCAATGTTTTCCTTAATCACAACTGAATGGTGTTAGAAAACAAAAGGTACATATTTTTTAAGGAGAAAAATATCTTTCTCAAAACAATTAAGAATTGTTACGTAACGTAACAATACCAAACTGGCATTACGGTAGTGTACTACAGTACAGCCTAAGAGATGGACATCAGGGTACAGAGAACTAAGGGGCTGATTTGAATGTCAGTTGAGTTTTACATACTGTAAGTCTTTGTAATTTAAAAAATCCAGCTGTAAGTATTTGAAATCAAACACGAATGGCACCTAAACAGACTACATAAAGAGGGCATCTGCGTTACTTTCTTAAGTGCTCCACTTTGATCATGACGGCTCCTGTAATCATTACAGTATATATATAAAATGAATGCTTACAAGATTTAATTGATTTTTATGTTTAAAATTCCAACCAGGCTTTCACATCCACATAAAAAAAAACACTATTCTGGCACAACAAAGCAAAAACAGCAAAAGCACTCTTGCTTCTCATCTTAATTGCTACCTGAAACCCTTTTGATGTGTTTTGAAGCTAAAACGGCTTTGGGAAGCACCAAGGACATGCTCGTCCTTCCAAGAGAGTCACTTTAAGGGCGCAATAACAGCTGCTTCAGATCTTAGTGAGGCAACTTCTGAAGCTTTTTTCAAGTCTATAAATGTCTGTGCTCTACAGCTTTGCTACAGATCTGTGACTTTGGGCTAAACTCTAGGGTCTCCTTGAGTATTTTTGAAAAGTGGTGATACACTGGCTGCTGCAATAAGCTGTTGATCTGAGGACATCTCTGCAAAGACGGCTTGATAAATTACTCTGCCAGTCTATGTTATGTGAAGTGTGATTAAAACATCAATCAGTATAACCTTGTTGTTCCATTGTTACATAGTTATCAAGCTGATAAATTAGGACAGTTCCTAAATTATATATATATTTCTTTCCATTAATCATGACTTGTAATCTGATCAAACTTTACTCACATTTCATATGCTTTTCCCCACAGAATTTAATGAAGTTGATGATGAAAGACCTAGATGAAAGTTTAAGAAATATTTGATAATCCATCCATCCATTAAACTGCTCCGTCCAGTTCAGGGTGGCGGGAGATCTGGAGCCTTGCTTGGCAAGCAACAGGTGGAAGGCAGGATATACCCTGGATGGAATCACAGTCCATTGCAGGGCAGACACACCGACACAAATACAGGCACACACTCATACTATACCTAGGACTAATTTTCCTAGAAGCCAATAAAATCACTAGTGTTTTTGTGGACTGCGGGAGAAAACTGGAACACCCAGAGGAAACCCTGCACAAACACAGGGAGAACATACTGTACAAACTCCATACAAAGTCCACACAGCTCCCTCTCCCACGTCTGGAATTGAACAGCAAGGCTAACCACTGTGCTGCCTATTATTTGATATTGCGTCTTACAAATAGCTGAACTACCTTTTTTATCCATAGCAATAGTATAGTGAGCTCTGTTAACAGCAACCAATAACAAATCTATACAAAAATGTCTCAGACAAGCTGAGGGAGAATGACTTAGTTCTAATTCTGGCACAGGAGTCAAGGAAGGCATTGAAAGTTTAGCGTGGTACATGAGCCTCTATTAGTTTTTGTTTGGTCAGTTGGGGACACAATTAAACATCCATTAATCTTGCTACTCTGGGTCGCTCAGGAAGTGTCCATGTCAAAGTGTAAGTGCAGAAAACTGTGATTTTGTGAACTTTGCCTTTACCTGGTTAATGCTACTCCAGGAATAAATGAAAAAAAAATTGTTTAAAGGCTTTAGGGCACCTTTTTTATTGTACACAAAATGATAAAGTAAACCCATTATCAGGGTTTATATCATAATGAGACTATGCCATTATAGGCAAAATTCATCATATCATTAATGTCATAATGCTTCCAATGTATCTCAGGATCACTTTCTATTTATTTTTGGAGTGTTGATACCCTTTTCTCTCCCATCTACCTGTGCAAAAGAACTAATTAATGGTTTCATTAAGAAAGCAGTGAGCAGGATAAAAAGCACCTCACTTGTGTCATTTAATCACTTTATTTTCATTTTAAATGCCAAACATTTATTTCATAGCAATAGGGGCTTCTGGAGGAAGAAAAGGCTTATAATAATAGCTCACTTGGAATCCAATCTCTAGGTTAAACAATAAGATGAGGAATCCAGAACAGAGCCAGAAGTCACGTAATCAATTCCTGGAGCGGCTTGGTACTTCATTAGTGTGGCAACACCATAGGGTAGCTGCAAATAAAGACTGCTCATTTCTGTGCACAGACGTGCCTAATGCATTATTCCCTCTTAGTTAATACCCAATTATACAGTGTTAGTGGCTGCTTCATAATCACTCAGCAGTTTCTTTGCTTGAGATGCAAGCATGCCTGTAAACTGAGTCAGACTCCCCAGAGTTGTGTGTACCTGTGCTGTTTTCTGTTCCAGACTCTGTTCCTGTATGTGACCAGAATAATGAAGCGGGGATACCAAGAGGAGGAGAAGAGTAAGAGGAACAATGTTGTCATTGCAAGCAAGGAAAGGCCAGAGAAAAAAGGCACAGCCATTTAATCACCTCTGTACTTCAAATGAGACCTGTTTTTGCAAGGCCTATTTCATTATCTACAGACTGGCCACATATCACATACTGTATAACATACCATAGCTATGTGTATATATCCTTAATTTATCATTTAGATGTTCTAACCTCTTTATTAGGAAAAAGTATAACTTTTTGAATGTGCTTGCTCCTTTTGTCCTCTCAACTTCCCAATAAGTCGCCACCTAACAGCACTTTAATGACCAGAAGTAAATGGACAAAGATTCAAGCTACAGTCCACACACTATCCCTACCACCAGGAGTTGTAATGAAATGCCATTATGTAGTGGGTTATGACATCTTTCATGATAGAAACCTCAGCTCAAAAGTCATCAAAATTGTTTAACAGGTTAAGAATGGTTAAAGTTATTAAATATAGTTGAAATTGAAAGATATTTTTCCTAGATTACCTACTGACAGAGAGCCAAATTACAACCCCAAATGGCATGCTGTGCAAAATCTGGAACTAAAATGTATGGAAAATGACTGGATGAAAGCAGGCATCAGACAAGTCTTTAAACATCACAAAGATACATGATGACAAAATTAATCAGAAACTACTTGATCAAATCAAGTTAACCTAGACTACCATACCCTGCTAAAACTTGGGATATCCGTTTTAAGTTGTACTTGTTTCCTAAGTAAGTTAACTTTGTAGAAAGTTATTTTTTTACTAGTCTGTGTATTAGAATCAATTTCATGAAAAATATCATTAGTACATCACACAATAGTCGGTGTCTCCACACTGATGAAGCCAGATGAATGATGTCAAAGCTGTTACTGATATCTATGTCCTTTTATAATGTAGTGTTCCTTCAGTGCTGTTAATACATGTACATCAGGTACAGTAAATGCCATGACTTGAGAATGTTCTCAAAGACCTCAAAATAAATTATGAAAGGCTAAAAAAAAGGGATCTCTAGAGCAAAATGTATGTAAAATGTAAGCTATAAATGTATTGTTTTTTGTCAGTGTAAAAATAGAAAGGTGAATTCTGCTAGCCTTATCTCCTTCAGACAAGGATAATTTGTTATGCCAAGGACAGTGGAGTGCTTCACAAGCACTAGTAAAGTATGTGCCCAGAACACTGACCTGTCAACTAGAACCTCATTGGTTAACCAGATACCTTCAGACAGGGTTCTACAAAAATTCTTCAGTTCACTAGACATTTAAAACACATGGAATATGAACTGGTCGGAGTTGGAAGCACTTTCTTTGGAAAGAAAGTTTTTTTTTCCCCCAAACAGCTGCTAGAGGCGTAATGTTTGAAATAACAGGGTGGTATGTACACAGATGCATTAAATAAAGTTAAATTTTGGACCCGGTTTCGGTTTTGATTTGAACAACTGAATGAAACCAACAGTAATAAATTGCATTAAATGTACGTGTTCTCTTCCCAAAGAAATGAGTTTTATTTAACACGGCTAGAAATCACATACTGTAAATGTAATCCAGTAATATAGTCTTGCTGTTTGCTTTTAGGTTCTGTCATATCTCAGTAAAAACAATTGTTCTAAAATATAAGAAACGTTACAAATAGACCATTTAGCACATATAGCCTTTTAGGTATCTAGTATCTCATGTATTCAAGTTTCTGATCTTCCACAAGCTGTTGGTGGGAGTATAAAACCTTTGCTTTAACAATCTGAATAACTTACTCAATGGTACAACAGCAGGATTCCACACAGGATTTGAACCTACAACCCTTGCATTCATAGGCCACTGGTGTCGGAAACAGAAACATTGTTGCACTTGGGTTTTACACTGAGAAGTATGTGAAGAGTTTCTGATGGAAAGCATACATCTCAAATCAATTAAGCTACTTGTTACATTGGTGCTCTCTGGAAAGGACACACAATAAGAAAAATATGGCAAATTTAAAAACCTCTGGCAAAATACACTGAATAATTATTTCACATTACATGCATGCTCATGTATGTAAGCATTATTTGTTGCATTCATATGAATTTTACGCTATATCACACAAAATGCACCAGAATCCATTGAGGATTAAATGGCAAGAATGACAAAAACAGAAAATTACCTCACAGGTGCTTATGGGGTTACTATCAAGCGGCAAAATCCTTTATAATGCTGTAATTCGATTATATAAAAGATACATTATTTTTGTACTACTGGCAACAGAGGCACTACAGAAGTATTCAAAATCCCAAAAGGTATCTAAAACATTGATGCAACAGACCACTTGGGAATCAACAATGCAAACATTTCACAGAAACACAAATGGAAAAGAAAAGGTACTGCATTCAGGAATGAAAAGAAAGCACTTTTTTACACAAATGGTGGTGGGTGCCTGGAACAAACTGCCCATACAAGTTGAAGCCAACACTATAAGAAAGCAGCACATCAATTAACAGCAAATCAAGAAAACAGGATCCTCTTGTATATTATCTTTTTTTCTTCCTGGTTTCTTATTACAATAAGATAAACCAGCACTTTGAACTTTGTCGAAGAATGTTGTTGTTTTTTCTTCAAGGTAACCGTTTATAAACTATTATAATTATGTTTATAAATTACATAAAAATGACTTGTTAACGCAGGATCAATATAAACCATCAGGTATCTTTAGAACAAAGACCACATTAAAAACAATTTGGTGGTCATATCTGAAAACAAAACTGGTAGTCAATTTCTTTTTTTAGATTCGAAAAACAGCAGAAACAAAATGTGGTGGAGGAGTATTTTTTTATTATATTTTAGATACATCTGTTCATCAATGTCTTTGCTCCAGACCTGTTTCATAACTTTTTCATTAACAGAAAAAAGAATTGCCAGCAATCTGGAAATTAAAAAAAAAATTCACCATGAACTTCAATCACTTAACTGTTAGCAGAAACTAATGTAACTGTTTTCAAGCACCGGAAACATGTTTTAGTCAATGGATCAGGCAAAGCTAAACTAACTCTACTTCAATTATTTTAGCACCGTTTATTAAAAATGAAATCTATGCCCCTGCTGTTTTATTGGCGAGATACAATATTCATGACTGATACAAATGCACTGAAATATACTAAAGACTTTTTTCCAGCATGAACAAAATGTTTGAGAAAAGACTAAATAGTCACCCACGCATCTTAGAAGAGATTGTCTGCAGCACCCGGCTTTCCAGAAACCTGGCAGTATGCTCCTTCTGTTGGAATCTCATAGTGTACACATTTATAAGTCTGTAACAAGGTATTTTCTTGCTGTTTGCTTCCTCAGTGGCCGCAGATTTCTTGTGGTGGTTTAGCAGAAGACACCTTTTAAACCTGAATCCTCAGACCGCAGATGTTACTACTAGCAAATTATTTTAAAGATAACCTTTGAAAGAATTTCATGTAATTCTTGATCCATCCAAGCAACTGATTTAAAAATAAAAGCAAAAACCATTCCAGTTTTCCAAGAAGAGGACTACAATTAAAGGTCCTGAGAGGAGGTCAATCTTTTTTTTTGCATTTATATGTTCTGCGGCTTCAGTTTCAATGTAGGTGTGTGAGAGGTAATGGGATCTGGGCTGGCCTGCTTGAACTATTGAGCAAAGGAAGGTGCTGCAGCACTTTGCACAAGACTGTCTTTTCACTGGGTGGCTTTGGTCTTCTTGCTTTTGCTTTTTTTGTCTTTCTTCTTCAGTCCATCCATGTGGGCCCTCAACAGGTTCGAGTAGGCCTAAGCAGGTTTGGGGACAAGCTGTGTTAATACAGAGCTCCTCTCATTCATCACATTTCTCCCCAGACTTGGGCACAATGGAAACATTCACAGCACATACCAGGTACAAGATATGCATGCACTAACAGAGCCATTCAATCTCTCATGACACTTCCAATTGTGGTAATACTAATACATGACATTATCATCAAGAAAAATGATGGGGGAAAAAATCAGTGTATACAAGCAATGCCATCTTTAGTCATGATTCAGATATGTCTGTTTTCTTCCATCTATGAAGGACAACTTTAAATATTTTAGTTTGTAAAAATCCGAAGTGCTCAAGGCAGTGAATTTGGTACATTTATTCATAGTTCTGCTATGAATTCTGAATACTGTTTCACTATACTGTTACTTTGACAACCCCACAGTTGTTTCTAATCATAAACAGCTCTAATATTTATAGATGTACTGTACAGAAAAGAAGAAAAAACAACCTATTGGATATGCAAAATTGAAACTAAGATCAATGTATGACCATTTGGTAAATGCAATCTACTATACACCCAGATACTTCTGCTGCATAACAAATAAATGCAACATAACAGTAAATGTAATGCTAAATGTGGATGTGTAAATGTGGAACTATTTTAATTCAAATACATCCAAGATCTAATACACAATGCAAAAAGTATTTTCATACAATACTTACCATCTGGAACTTTATTACTTCTTTGGTGCTTACCTAGAATTAAATTTAAAAAAAAGTGTTTGCTTCTGCTTAACTATTTTACATAAGGATAGTTAGATCCATTACAGAGAACACAACTAGAGAGGTTTAAGGAATTAAGGAAGAAAGGTGCCTATACTTTATTATAATAGATTAAAATTACACAAAAATACATAAGACTATTATGAAAAGGTTAATTCTCCTCTTTTTCCCTAAAAGGAATGACAAGGGCACAAGTCACATCTTCAACTAAACTTCTCCAAGAAACAAATGATGTTACTGATTTTTGCTCTAACTTTATGGCCAAGATCTCCACTGTAATCTATCCACTGTGTTCACAAGAAATAGGGTTCTGGTCTGATTTCAAACTTCAATAGCGACTTAGGGAAATGTTGAAGTGTAAAATAAAGATATAACACTCGCTCCATAAAATGTCAATACTCACCACTGTGCTAATTTTTTTCTTTCCATCCGTGGCTCTGATGAGACACTTATTGTCTACAGGCTCAAAATTCTCTGGATTTCCTTTCCTAGGTACAGGTTTTGTTCTCCCATCATCTATACAGAAGGACACATGAACTTGTTAGTTTTTAGAAAATTAATTCAACTCAAAACCATTATATGTTAAACAGAAGTCTCATCAAAGCTAGTGCTGCATATAAACATTCAAACATCCACCCATTATCAGAAAGCCACTTATCCCAGTGCAGAGCAAAGCCTATCCCAGGGGCACAAAACACAAGGCAATACTAACAACATATAACTGCTCAGCCCCTGAATGAAACACCAGTCCAATGCACATCCAAGTGGAAAGGCATAATCATTCACAGCCAGCACATCTTGCCATTGGGGGATGGAAGTAAAGCATAGCGTCCACAAGTGTACCTTTAAAAAAATAACCCCCATAACTTGGGGTCACTAAAAGTCCACTCAGCTTACATTTTTTTAATGTGATGTACACACTCCCACTGGTCCTGCATTTCTGAAACAGCCGTGTCAGCTCTGTCAAAAACTGAGAAGAAAAGGGGATAGTTTATTCTGTACCCATAACCAATTTAAAACAGTAATCCATTTAAAATAAATCAACCTGACATATTGTAGTACGTTTTTCTAAGGCTGGTAACTGTCGTTCAGTTAAAACGTTGTGTTTCTTGTGTAAGTTGGACAGACCCATTCATTTTAGATCCTTAGTAAATCGGAAAAGAAACTGTAGTAGCATCGACATTTTATGTTCTGTGCTGTCTCGTTAACAGATTTGGTTATGGCTGTATTATTCAAAGGCTTCGTAAAGCCGATACACATATAAAGTACATTTTAAAGTTCATGTTTGTTTTTGTTAGTTAACTCGAAACAAAAACTACAGATACAGCTGATCTGATGCATTTTCACAGACCAAATAACACGGAAAAACAGGTCACTTCCACTGTAAGTGGGCACCAAGCTGTAGTAATTAAAATATCAACGAACTAACAGTAGTGGGAGGAAAGCCATAAAATCCTTAACTTACGTCCTAAATATTTTACTTGTTGATTTAAAATATGCAATATGAAGATAAGACACTTATTGGCGTCTTTTAGTTATCAATGCGAAGAAAAATATATTTAAATCTATATTTTTACAAAAATGAATGAACACCCTACTTGAAACAAAGTATTTGAAATAATTTTACAACAATGCAGTCTTCTTCCACGAAATAATATTTTAAACCATCTTACCGAATCGTTTTCAAGAAGCACCATGGCTGTTCTGCAACGACTTTTAAACCTTTTGATTTCAAACTAAAGATGATCTCAGCATATGACATCCACATCCACACACGCAGACCAAACACAGGAAGCGATATCTTCAACTCTAACCCTTAACCTTACTCTCCAATCAGCTGATCAAAAGTACCACAGAGTTCGCGCTCCGTCTAGAGTGTCTTTAAAAGTCATGGGAAGACTTGGCTGATAGGGGAGGATTCTGTACAGTATGTTTAATTAGTATGGATATGTTCTTTTGGTTCAGTTTATTACAACCTAGCGCGTTTCTTTCCTTCTTAAAAAGGGTAATGAATAGACTGTAGGTATTCCATAAAAAAACTGTATTCGATCATTATGTTAATAATATTTGCATTGTTTTTAAAGGACGAGAATTATGCAATATTTGTGTATCATAACATTTCTCCATTGTGCAATTTAAAAACATTCAGAATTTTATGTTACATTTTTTTGAGTTGTGAGGCCATAACTGCATGTAGTCTGCACTTAAATCCATTAAACTCACCGATCTTGAATTATCATTTAAGATGTTTTGTCAATTCTTTGCCTCAACAACCTTGAGTTCTTGTGTGTTCTTTGCGTGTTTCAACCTCTTCTTCAAGACGTAATGAATCATGATAAACTTGAGCAGTATACGATTTAACACTTTTTCCTCCTAATGAACACCTTAGTTGCATCGGCCGTTTTGGATCATTTTTATGCTGTATGGAAAAGCTTTGCCTAATATAGGGGCATTTTCTTCTATGGAATATTTTTTCTGCTTATGTAGACTTCAGTACATAAGCAAATTCTCCTTCAGTAAAGGAGAATTTACTGATAATGGAAATAAGCCTCTGTTCATGTTTTGTATTAATCCATATTTGTTCTCATAATCAACAAAGAAATAGGCATAACAGCAACTTATTAAGAAGGTTCTGAGCATTTTCCTGTAGCTCTTATCTTTAAATACTGCGTGCTTCAAAGATTTTTGTGAGCTTTTTAAATGAACTTGAACTCCCAAGTCTAACCCCTTGAAAAATGGACTTTTACAATAACACTTTGTCTTCAACTATAGTGAATACACTTCACATATACAAGTCATAAAGTAAAACATAACTTTCTTCTATTTTTTTATTTTTTATACATCAAGTTAATCATCGTCAGCACCATTTTAAATAACATGTCAACATGTCACAATCAAACTGCAGCAGAAGAGTAATACACAAAGAACAACTGCAAAAAATATTTGCAGGAGGCAATCATCAATATAAATTAAAAATGTTTAAATCTAGCGATTATGTGTGTCCTTTTCAAGATATTGTGAAAGCAAAAATAAAGCAGGAAAAACAGGAAAAGTTACAGGAACAGGAAAAGTTCTCATCAAAGGAGACATACAGTACTGCATATTAATAAATATCACAGAGATTAAGACAAAGGGTAAAGATAAATCAAAGAGAACTGATGTAAATGGCCACTATAGAGAATGACTGCTGAAGAACTGCCATGTGAAATAAATGGGTTTAACTATATGAACACATTTTTGGAGTCTTTATCAGTTTTGCCTTGCTTTTACTGTATAGACAAGGGGTGGAAATACTCCAGGCACAGAGAGTTACAGTAGGTTCAGCAGGTTCTGTAGTTTAACATTAAATCATCAGTTTTTATCCTTTTATCCACCATCCACTTGGAACAATTGTGTTTTGACCACTTCATTCAATGTTAGCTCTCCCTAAAAACTCTGGTTTGCCTTTTTGTTACACATGAGTGGTGGCCTTAAGGTCTTCGCTGTGTTTACAGTCAGGGTTCTTCCCCAAATCACTGAGGTTTATGGCAAACTGTGAGCTCCAGTCTCGTTCAAACACCCCCTTCAGCTGCTCCTGCAGAGTCGGCTCAGAGTGTCCCGATTGCTGAGGCTCCTGTGAGACAATCAGACCCACCCCAGCTGTGGTGTTGAAGTAATCTGCAGACCAGTTAGAGGTTCCTAGAGGCATTGATAAGGACAAAAGTAAAATACAGTGACTCAGGTTAATTCTAGATTGTCCAAATGTTAATTATGTTAAGGTTGCTGCTGGAAGAGGTGTTAGTGGGGCCAGCAGGGGGCGCTCACCCTGCGGCTCATGTGGGTCCTAATGCCCCAGTGTAGCGACGGGGACACTATACTGTAAACAGGCGCCGTCCTTCGGATGAGACGTAAAACCGAGGTCCTGACTCTCTACGGTCATTAAAAATCCCAGGGCGTTTCTTGAAAAGAGTAGGGGTGTACCCCAGCATCCTGGCCGAATTTCCCATCGGCCTTTATCAATCATGGCCTCCTAACAGACCCCCTCTATGAATTGGCTTCATTACTCTGCTCTGCTCCCCACTGATAGCTGATGTGTGGTGAGCGTTCTGGCGCACTATGGTTGCCGTCGCATCATCCAGGTGGATGCTGCACATTGGTGGTGGTGGAGGGGAGTCCCCATTACCTGTAAAGCGCTTTGAGTGGAGTGTCCAGAAAAGCGCTATATAAGTGTAAGCAATTATTATTATTATTATTATTATTATTATTATTATTATTATTATTATTATTATTATTATTATTAATTATACTGAGAAGTTTTTCCATGAATGCTCTTCAATTTAAAAAAAGAAATGTCTTTGTAACCAATATTACTGTATGTCCCTGCTTTAACCCAGATTTTACACTTAGGAGTAAAACCCACTATATAGATGCATAATTATAAGATTTAATATTTAATCTGTAAACTGATACAGATTGTGATACAATTATAATTGTACATCATACAAATCCATTTCTGCCATGGGGATAGACAGAAAAAAAGATTAAATGCTTTCATAAGCACACCAACTGAAATTTAAAAGAAATAAATACACAAATGCAAAGGATTGTATTCATAATCTCTGTATGTGATTGTTAATCGCAATTCTTACTTGCTGCACCTTGTGAAAAGAGAATGATTTTAAAATATCAGTATTAATATTGCTGGACAGTATGTAAACAGTTTGGTTAAACAGCTCTGGGGATGGAATAAGCTTTCAATCATATATTTTTTGTTCATCCATTTATCGAGCAATTTTCTAACTGCTTCTTCTGTTTATGATTGCTGGGGAGCCAGAACCTATCCCCGAAAACATCGGACTGAAGCAGATAAAGCACTGGAAGGAATGCAAGTCCATCACAGGGCAGACACACAGACATAAATGTAGACACACTCACACCAGGGCCAATTTCCCCATAAACCAATCAACCTGCCAGGATGTCTTTGGACTGTGGGAAGAAAGCACCCAGAAGAAATCCACGTGAACACAGGGAGAAGATACCAACTCCACCCAGATAGCACTGCAGGTTTGGAATTAAACCCAAAGCTCCCACACTGTGAGGCCTTAATGCTAACCACTTCACCACCATGCTACCTATATTTGTTCATTTGGCAATTAAGTGTCTTCCATTGGCCTGTATATTCTAAGTGCACTTACACTCAGTAGATGTGTTCGACAGATGAAAGTCATTCCTTATTATAAGAATTAGACCAACGATCCAACTCCTATGGACAGCGAGCATCACAATTTTGCCTGGCTAAATTGTCCAATGTGTTAAATAAATTAGCAAAAAATACTCCATTTCATACCATCACAAAATGGAGGTAAGAGGTTTGTCCCTTACCAATGTAAGCTAGTTTGTCCGTCACCATGTATTTATTGTGGTTCAGCCTGGCAAAAGGAATGTCTGAGTGGTTCCCCACTGGAACAATAAACAGTTTCTGAAAAAGAAAAAGAGAGTAATGAATGAGGTTGGGAGAAGAGGACTAGTTTTGGGGAGACTTCATTTTCCTTCTGTTCTACTGGGGCACAGAACTATTTCTGAGAAGAAGGATCGCCAGCTCTATTTGAGATGTCTTTAACGCTAAATCAGAAATTGACATGAAAAAAAGTCATCTATAAAGGAAATGGTGTGTCTTAGACTCTTAGTAAACCCTTTTAAAAGGGTCTGATCATGAAGTCTAGGGATACATTCACAATTAATTTATAATTATTCAGTATGCATAAAAGTATCGGTGCAAAAGCACTGTGTTGTTAGTGGATTACAGTATTTATGCTGTTGGTCAGTTTGTGTTGATTTCTGTTATTTATTCCTATCCAAACAAGCTCCCTTTAAACATCACTTGTGCTGATGAAACAAATTGATAAAGTGAAATTCCCCCCAAATTACCCCTTTCAGTTCCACAAATAAATAAGCAGAATGCTGACTGACTGTTTAATTGTTTTAGCAGGTGCAATGTGGCATGGGCTAGCACCTGATTTTAATTTACATTTAAATAGCATCCTCTTTAATGAAAACAAGTATAGAAATTAATTCTCTCAACTGTTTCTGTGCTTGACAGGGTGTATTACTAGACACAATATTTGCATTCATAAAACAGTCACATGCTAATCAGTCAGGCCTGTTTTAATAACTGTGTTGTCAATTATGCTGGTATACCCTGTTTCTCTACAAATACACATCATTATGGCCACAAATGGTGATGAGACGGATTGGATATTGCCCCTTCTAATATGTATAAGACATTATGCCCACCAAATGTGTTCCCTGTTGTCCTATTTTTATGTGTATCAAACATCCTGGCTCAGTGTTACTTTTGTATGATGCAACTGTTTGAATAGGCCAGCATGGAACTCTCTGAAACACTGAAAGCTAATTATCTTACAGTATGTAAGTATGGTTAAGTTAAAACTGAAGTGTACTGCCCAGTTTAAGTGAACTCCTGACAGACTGACATGGGTCTAACAAGTGAATTCTTCATTTTGGACACAAAATGAATAAGAACATTGAATAAGAACAAAGCATACCAACTGCTCTTGTTAACTTTCTTCAAAATGTTCAATTTGAAGTACAGTTCCTTGTGAGTTTAAAGACCTGTGAATGCTGTAAAGCTTCTTGTGTTTAATCCAATGAAAATAAAACTTTACCACTTCAATGCTGATATTGGAAGGTGGGTAACTAAGCGCACTGAGGGACCTCAGGTAAGCAAACATGGATGGGTCACTGCTTTGCCAGCAACTGATGAGGAGGCGAATGTGAACGTGTCGTTCGAAAGCTGATCTCCGCAATGCATCATCAATGACTGGCCAATATCTAGAACAGAGAAAGGGAAACAGACTTCTCACTGTTGTATAAAACCAACCGACCTCTAATCTAAAATCCTAGACAAATGTATTTGATAAATACTTTGAATAACTAGCTTCATTGTTCTGGAACACTTCTTAGAGGAAATGTTTTACCTGTGAAATAGTTTGGTGAAATCGGGCCCATTTGAGAAATTGAGCATAATAATAGAACTTGCATGTTTATAGTTTTAATTTTATCAATTACGTTGCTTTACTTTCAATAATGTAAATTTTCTGTCCGATAATAACAGAATTTTATTTTTCAACTAATTCAACCCATTTTTTAAGGATCTCTTTCTCTTCGCAAGGCTTATACTACCATCTAGTGTTAAACATAATTAACACACCAACGTTGGGAAGGAGGTGGCAAATAGTTGTTAATTTTGCACGTGACAGGAATCATAACTCCTAGGAGTTGAAACTACACCACAAAATTATTATTATTATTATTGTTATTATTATTATTATTATTATTACTACTACTACTACCTATCCATCCATCCATTTTCTATCCACTTTGTACATTCCAGGGTCATGGGGGAGCCAGAGCCTATCCTGGCAAACAATGGGATGCCAGTCTAAATCTATTGTAAAGCACAGACAGAAACACACTCACACCAGGGCCAGTTTTCTCAGAAGCCAATTTACCTGCTAGTATTTGGTTTACTGTTCGAAGCCAGAGCACCAGGAGACAATCCATGCATTTGAACCCAGGGCCGAAGTGATACATGGCAGTAGTGCTAACCACTGTGCCACCATGCCAACTGTAGGATTATTAAGTAATCTGAATAATAATTTATGTTAAATTATTGTTCAACATGCATTTAGATAGCAGAAGGCAGCGAACCTCGGTATACAGTATAAGGGAACTTATACTTCTACTGATCAGTTCACATTCACCTGTGCTGGTTGCCATATATACTGAAGCTCACTGCCTTCTCTTAATCTGAATAAGTAAGGAAAGGACTCTTAGACATATTGTGTTGCTTCATTCTGGTCAGTTATCATGTATTATTCTGGTAAGTAAATATGCAAGACCAATGGCAAGCCACCACCACTCATTTTCACAAAAAAATCAATCCAGTTACCCACTTTGTTGGTTTCTTAAAGCGAGAAGTGGGGAAATATTCCATTACAGCCACATCTATAAACCTTTCTGCCCCATTGATTGCTGATATTATGGCATCCAAGTCCTTTGTTCGACCGCTGGGACAAAATGCAGGAGGGGAACCCTGAATGAGACAAATCCCAAGATTCAACAATAGCTATCATGCAAAAAAACATGACTGCATTTTACACATCAACTTTATTTATTGTTTTGTATTATAGTACATTAATCCATTGTCATTCTCAATTATTTTTACATTTTTGTTCACTAATGTACTGAATATGGCTTCTGAAGATATTGCTCCAAAATGACTGCCAGTAAGCACTCATGGCTCTGAGTAAAATAGCTTTGAAAATTAGCTCACAGATCCATAGGAGGGGAAATTAAACATTTGTGTTGCCATTTTATTTTTACATCCAGGAGATTTTGTTAGGCTTGTATGAGAATAATTACCAGTGTCACACCATAGCAATTAAAAATGTCTCCTTTTAAGATCGTGTGTATTAATGGCAAGGCTTTAGACTAATCCCTAGCTTGAAAAACATGAAGATGAAAAGAAAAGAACACTGAAAGAAGGGTATCTGCATACAGGAGCACACAAGGGAGTTGATCTTTAAGAATAATAAATAGGATTAAAGCGTAAAACACTGTGACAAAAAAATCCTAATACTCATCCTGCAAAGTCATTTTAAAAGATGATTCAACTGAGAGCCCTGGAGATAGAAGCACCATAAGCAGTAGAAGAACATTTCTATATGAACCTTTCTACATGTTTTTTTCATAAACATACTACTTACATACTATCCCCTAGTTTTAACTACTGCAAATGGGTGACGTCCAATACAGCAGTGCAAATATTGAGGTAGGGCCTTTAGCCCTTCAAAACAGGTTAAAAAAATCAAAGCGAGAAAACCAATACAAATAACTGGGAGAAAATGTGATGAGAACTCAGTGTCACAATCTCTTTTTATGCAAAACACCTTTCCACAATCTTTATTAAAAAAAACAACCTGCCTTATTGAGGCTACAATAATCTTTGTACAGAAAATTTGTTCGGAACTCCCTAATGCCAAAGTTAGATTCATTATTAATTCGATTAACAGCACACTGAAAAAGCCACTTACAGAAATGTAGACTTTAGATGGCACTCCACTGATGTTCACAAGCAAAGGGTTGTCTTTGTTGACTGAGGTGTTAAAGGAAGGAGGCCAGGGATCAGGGATTGTGGCATTGTGATGCCCAAGTGTCCAGTATGAAAGGAATATCTTATGAAGGTCCCTCGCCAAACAGGAGCAGTTGTAGATGATAATTCCGAGCTCTTTTACCTGCAATCAATTGGCAATTGGTGCATCTTGGCTTAAATACATGTACTTAAATATGAAACATACATTCCTTTGCCTGTACTAGAGAACAATAGTCATATGAATGGACTGTGCAAGTGCCAGGTAATGTGTGTTTGGCTCGATTAACATGAAAAAGACATTGATTACTTTCTCTGACCACAACAATCCTTGGATATCAATCTCATTGAAAACTGGTGAAACTGTTGGAATGCCCAGTTCCATTCCACACACCATTGCCCTCATCAACCAAAGGCTGTCTTGTTAGCTAGAAGAAGAGGATAGAATTTATTGTAAATATTCATAACCTTGTGGAATATGTATGTTCTCTTGAAGTTGATGAGAGCCTTTTATAAATAAGTGAAATGGACCAAATGGCCTCCATTCACTTGAAAACACTATTATGTTCTTAAGATTGAAGCACGATTTACTTTTACTTACAATTACCCTTCAATGTAAGAAGAGTTTAATGGAAATATAATGGAGTACATATAGAATAAGTGCCATAACATGCAGTATAAGAGTAATCAATATGCATGAGAACTGCTCTCATGAATGGTGTAAATTAAAAGTCCGGCCCACCAACATCATCACAAACCCAACACTTGACAACAGACACTTCATCACTCTACCCAGTCAGTTTGTCATTTTCAACTGGCGAGCAAGGCCAAATATTCAGACTTTATCCAGACACTAGATGTAAGTCTACTTCTAAAGAATAAGAATGTGGGTATAACTGTTAAATGTTTACCTGAGTCAAAGACCTCCAGTCCATGTTAGCACTACCAATGTAGACATGCTTCATATCGACGATCCAGAATTTGGTGTGAAGCACACCTGTTGTTAAATGCCCGAAATTCACTTTTTTTACATGGACACCTTTCAGAAAATAAGACAAAACAGCTTAGAGTAAAGTTATAGTCTTAGGCTAAACCACACAACTGTATTTCGTTCTTGGTGCTAGAAAACATCCTACCTTTCCCATGTAAGACGTTCAGGTCTGTGGAGTTCCATGCCATGGAAGGAAAGCTTGAGGCCACACACACTGACACATTTCTGGAAGGCATGTCCTCAAACTGTTTTAATATATCCTTCCCCTGAAAAACAAAGATTGTGGAAATTAACTGATTATCTGAAGAACAAATGACCTCCAAAACACCACGGGTCATATTATATGGTTCTAATATATATAAAACATATAACACATAGGTGAACAGGTGAACAGGTGAACTTGTGGTCTGACAGGCACAGTACAAGCACTAAAAGAGCCACAGTTCTTGAGAGATGTGGCAGGATCGTCTGACACCCAATTCAAGACAAGATGGAGATAATATCAGAAGGGCCCAGACTGAACACACAGTCCTGTAAATCTACTGTAGGCTACTTTGTTTGTTTCTTTCTAGTCTTTATCCCTTTGAAAATGTAATCCAAATCCATTAAATAATCTACAGGGATTATTATTTTTTATTCTAAGGCATTAAATCGTCTTAAAATATTTCCACAATTGTATCACATGATAGTGAAAGGAGTTGTATTTATTTTTACACCAACACAATAATATTAAAAACAACAACAATAATGAAATAATAAGATCTGTTGTGTCCACTGTGTATTGCCCTGTGGATAAATTGTAATTTTTTTTTGCGCCATCATCATTAAAGAGGCTCATTAAAGCAAGCATGAGCTGAACTCAAGTATGATTAAAAGCTTTTTCTTGCATTTTAAAATTAAACAGAAATGGCCTATAGGAAAACCTGTCTGTATGCATCATACAGTATGTGCTGTTATGTTCAGGTCAGCGTTTACCTCCCTCTACTGGTATGATTTTGCCTGCCTTTCTCTGTGCTGAGTGAAATAAAATCCTAATTGGCATCAGCTGTGGACCTCCAGAAAGCCTATATAAGCAGATGGCAGGGAGCCCACAGGGAGATTTAGGGGGAGAGTAATGCCTGGGAAAATTAGGAGAGGTTTGGAAAAACTGGAGGCTTTTTTTTTTTAAAACCAGCTCTTGAGTAAGATTTGTATTGCACTCTGGTTTATGTTTTGTTTTTTGTGTTTCTTCATATGTTTTGAATTCTTCAGTTTAGATGGGCATTTGGTTTTGTTGCTGTTAGCTAGGCTAAGATGGGGAGATATGGTGGTTAGTCCATGGAAGACTTATCTTTATTTGTTTTTAGTGCTAGTGTTAGCTAGTTGGCTTTTTTTATTATATTTAGATGTAGGCCTGAGATTATGTGGGAATAGCTATTTTAAGATGCCCTGTAAATGCTACAATGGACTCCCTTCCATGCCTTTGATGTATTTGGGAAGGCTAGGTGGTGGTGTAATTGTGCTCATTATTCAAAGATGAATAATGGGTCAATAATTAAACATGGTGTTATTTAGTAGATGCTTTGATACACTACAACCTATATCAACCATACAGCAGAGCATTACCTGGGATCAGAGCTCACAACCCCTGGTAAGGCCAGAACCCTAACTACTCCTCCCTGCTGTTGGCTTATGTTGACTTTTTAAATTAAATTAGCTGCAGGAAACAATGTAAAGACCCTTCACAAATTCTGAGTAAATCAAAGTAAATATGATTTTACTAGGTAAAACCATGGCTTTGTTGTACATGTTAAAGTTTGTACAAAGACATGGAATTCCAACTCACAGGTATATCGGTATAAGTCTTCACACCGATATCCTCCCCTGTCAGTGACCAGTAGAAAGAGGCCACGTCAATACTCCTGGTGGCCATATTGAGGAGATCTGTCCAGGCCTTGTACAATGGTTGTCCAAAGGTGGAGTTTCCTTCATACTTCATATCGAGTGGGATGGTTTCAACTAAAATCAAACTAGGAAAGGCTTCAATATTAGGTAAAGTAATGATAAAGGTTTTTAATAAGTCAGTACCTTACTTAAACTAAAACCCATTCAAATTGCTGTCTCACTTTGTTCACCACAACAGTACAACTTGGGATAAGTCAGATTTATTTTCATTTAGGGTGTTCACAGTTCAACTTGGTGTAAATTAAAATGTGCATATATTTACCTGTCATCTTGACTATATGCTCACAGTGTGATCAACAAGGGTCAAACTAAGACCCTAAGTTGACTGTGAAACTAAGGTCCAAAGTATTGTGATAACAGAATGTACTGGAAGCAGCTTTTTTGTTAACACTCACAGAAAGCAAAAAAGGAATAATTAAAAATCAACAATTGATCAGGTTATATCGTAGGCTACAAAATAGTAATGTCTTGTTTCCCCTTGAAACTGAAACTGAGTTAAACATTTCACTTTTTCTCTGTGGAAATAAAATCTCCTGCTACTAAATGCTGAAAAAAGAGGATGTAGTTACTATTTTGAAATGCAAATACAAAAGCTGCAAAAAATGATTTGCAATACTATCAAATCCACACTCAACATGGATACATGCCTCACTTAAAATAGGTGAGTGGGCAGAGCTCATTCCTGCCATAGGAGCAGAGCTGTCTTGCTTTACACAACGTACTTCCAAGAGTGCAGTGAATGTCTGCTTAAAAAGTATTTTCATGTAGTTTTGGGTCAATGAGATTACATTATGTGTCTCCATCATTTACAACCACGTATTAAAGCACTTCCTCTGATACAGGAAGAACCTGCTTTCTCACCTGCTCATGTCACTGCAAACATTTTTGTCCTCCTGAATCGTTTTATAATTGGGCATATTGTCCTCACTGTCAAAGTGGTTACTATCCGTAAATGCTTCTCCAGCATGGCTAGGTTTTCCATTTGTAGCTTTCCTCTCTAAGAGAGCACTTGAAATGAGTATTGTCAGTACAGTCAGAGAGCCTCCAATAAGCACTGATGTCACAAGCCGCTTGGAACTCTGGAAACAGATTAAAATCACATGATCAGCAAGTGATTATTTTTGTTTGAGGAGATTGTTTCAAAAAGACAAGGGGCGAAACAGAATAAAAGTAGGGGTGAAAGAGACAGAAAACTACCACATTCCAATAAAAACAATTAAAAGGGGCCCTTCTTAAGAGAAGAATAAACACAAAAAGTAATGAGACTATTATTTATATGAAACAAAAAATCTACCCAGTGGTGTGTAGTGCTATACAGAAGAAAGTAATGAAATTGGGTTTGTAGGATAAAGAACATTAAGGGCATGGTTGTGATTTGTTTTATGAATAATAGAATTGTTATTCTTTCCAGAATGACATACTATAATTACGATAAAGGAATGATATGGAACACTCTTGAAAGGACTGTAACCAGAGATTTTGGTAAAGTCTGGAATATCAAGCTACTAGGTTAGTTTGATACATCAAATCAAAGCAGAATACATTCGAGGAAAACATGAACAATGTTTCTTACCCATGTGTTGGCAACATAACTGTCATGTAAACTTCGGTATGGTGAAGACATTGCTGAACCTGTGACAAAATTCCTTTCCTGTCAAGCAGCAGAAATATATAGCTCCTTATATTTGTGTAAGGATCACAATCTTAAACACCTGCTTTATGTCAGGTTTCCAATATCTGTTATTTTAGATCTATGTTCAAAATAGAATAGGAATTGTAATAATTTACTATTAATTCTCAATTAAGTTAAATAAAACAGAGATCCAAAATAATTAATATTAAAGACAATGACATAACATTTTAATATTTGAACCCCAATGTAAGCAGATTTGTCTACAATTAATTAGACATTTACAGTGCAGTTTATTTTGGACATCTCTCAGCCCACTAAAATGTCCTAGATAAGCCTTGACAAATACATAGGTGAAGTAGGTAGCCCACTTTAAATTGGACAGACAGGTTCAGTGAACTTTGAAATGTACCAGGGTCATTGCACAGACCAAATGATAAGATTAAATACATATTGTACCTTTGTCTTTGGGGTTAATTTAGACCTGCTAGTAACCACAAGCTAAGTCTAAGCCAGAAAATCAGTTTGCATTACACAAACTGTAGAGGCATCATCAGTGCTGCATCGCTGGCAGCAATTCCAGTCTTCTATAGTCTATTCAGAAATCAAGTCTCCAGTCCTATTTAGGGTTCAGCAACTATGGAGGCAGTTAGACGATTTTCACGCTACTACTGTTGTGCTAAATGTATGTTATTCTTCTGATAACCTTATGCTGATTATGGTTTCTTGTAAGACAACTGGTTTTGTCTTAGATTTTTTTCTCACTGTTTTCAAGCATTTAATCTGTTTTTTTTTTAACTCAGTGAATAAGTAACATAGGTTCCTGTTTCAAGTTAACCTTCATATGACTTCCCCTTTTCACCCTTTGCAACAATTTAATATCATAAGAAAGGTTACAAATGAGAGAAGGCTGTTTGAACCATCTGGTTCAGTTCGGTAATTAGTAAGTTATTGGTCCCAGTATCTCATCTAGCCCTTTATTTTCAGCCACATGACTGGGAAGTTTGTTCCACTGACAAATATTTATAAATATATCTGTACCAAGATTCAAAAGAAATGTTTAATCATATTTCTGCATGTTTTTGAAACAAAAAAAAACAAATTATGGATCCTGTTTTGGGTTTATTTGATTAACCAATCTTTCATTACAGACTATAACGTTCTTGAGGGATGCAGGACTGTTACATACAGTACACACTAAATCACATTGGTGGTGGAGGGGAGTCTCCATTACCTGTAAAGCACCTTGAGTGGAGTGTCCAGAAAAGCGCTATATACTGTAAGTGTAAGCCATTATTATTAATTAATTAAATCACTTAATTAGCAAAAATGTTGAATTCAGGTGATGACGTAATTTAACATGCTTAATGTTTAATGTCAAATCTGGTGAAAATCAATAACAACACACAAAGGAACCAATATGTCCTGATTATCAAGAAAACAATTCCTTTGTGTCAACAGTACTGTATGCTGGGATGAAGTACTCTCAAGAGCCAGCAAGCAGTTTCCAACCTGCAAGAGGTTAGAGCCAAACAATTCATCAATGACAGGCCACGACCTAGGAGACCACGAGTCATGACACCTTACTAAATTGATTGGGAGGTTCAATTGTAATCGTCTGGGCAGGGCTGTTTAGTCACTACAGAATTCCAGAGTGACTGATAGAAGACTGACTGCATGGTGCCACATTGAACAAGTCTTGGCTCTTCAGCTGGAGTCCTAATTCCTGATGTAACACCAGTTTTGCAGGACAATGTACAGTATGTTATCACCAGAGCTAAACTGTCATCTATGCTATAGTGCATAGTATAATTCTTGCCAAACTTCAGTCCCATTGGACATTTTTGGGATGAACTGGGACAAGAGTTGATATCTAGGGTTTAGAGACCAGTTTACAGGCACGTGTCTCCAGTATGTATTGCAGATGTACAGCTTCTACTGTTTCCATTGGAGTCCATGCAGACTACTAAACTCTGACTTTCACAGCAGAGACCCTGTTCACCAACCCTATTACAGTCAAATGTTAACCAGCATTATGAATTTACCTATGCTTGTCTGTTCAATACAATCTCAATACACTTACTACTGATCATTTTTGTCATTTTCCTGAATTTGTGAATTCGTTGCAGTTATAAATGACAAGTGTCTTTAGATGCTAAGTAAAATATACAGCCCCAGTTAAACAATGAATAGCCGCTGCTTATTGGTTTTAAGTGGTTGCTAGCAGTAAGACTAAATATACTGCAAAATTTATTACAAATTGCTTCTATATTTATAAAGATAATAGACACAGGAGCAGAGGTTAAGAGTGTACCCTATTCCCGAGTGCCATCTTCCTTAAGTGTTGAACAAGTTCAAAATGTGAAAAACAACAACAGGCTCTAAAGCTGAATTAAAAGTCATTTAAAAACCTCTTCAACTAAATACAGTACTTAGTAATCTCAGACAATACCTGTTCAAATGAGCTTTTTTAAATGATGAGATTAATATGCATCAACATCAGAGGATCGGAAAATCTCAGCCAAAAATTAAGCTTTAAACATTACCATATCTCCTCAGGCAGAGGCAGTAGGCACTGTTCTTGCTTGTCTCTTTCAGCTTGTGAGAATGGCTCTAACAGTTAAGACTTGTATTTAATGAACAGCTGGGAGTACTCACTTCCTATTTTAGATTCTCATAAAGAAGTTCCCCTTTCTCTGTACACAGAACACAGCACAGAATACAGTAGACTAGAACTATAGCAGGATGAATTTTCGCTTTTGACTCAAGAATATTTTTGGTACAGCCTTTACAGACATCAGCAAAATTCCCCTTTCAGTGCTTCAGTGTCTATCATTGGTACACTGCTAGTGTGATGCAACTCATCTTTGCAAAAAGCATGCCAGTTTGAATTTGCTGTATAAAATGATTAGGTAAAACAGCTCTTATTTAGTCCTGTTGAACATACTGTACTCCATAGAACAATGTGTGGCACACACATTTCTGTTAAATTTGTGTTGGCCAAGAAAATTAGCAACAATGCACTTTGATTATAATGCCACCTTTAAAAATGAAACAAGTTATATATTTTTGTAATAAATGGTAAACATGTATTTGGTAATAAATTTGGTAAACATCCACACGTGCCAAATAGGTGTGTTGCAGAATCTGAATAAATATAAGTTCCATTTTACTAATGTCTCTTGAATATAAATAATAATTAACATATTTGCATGCACCTCCAATATAGTCAGAAGTGGCTTTAATGGTTTGCAATAAAGTCTTATTGTATCTTATTTTATGAAGATCGAAAGGTCAGGAATATATATATATTGAGTATCAAAAGGTTCATCTCTCTATATACATATTTTACAAAAATACCTTTTACAAAAATATACAGCTTTCATGCATCCATCAAATATTTTTGATTGGTTGATTACCCGTAACCATGATATACTTTAATAATACATAGTTGCATGGGCACTAAATCACTTCATTGCAGAGAGAGTTTATTGGGCACAGTTGAGAAGGTGATTTGAAATTGAATTTTAAATTAAATTTGTCAATCCTGGTATTAAACAAGAAAAACAAGCACAAAAGAACCAAACCAGTCCTGGTTATTTAGAGAATGTCTTCATGCTGTCTGTATGTTGAAGGCTGGTTAAGCCAGAGCTGTTTTACCCACTGTGCCATGGGTTCACAGTGTTAGGCTATGACCTGGTAGACAATACCTTGCAAGATCTATCAAGAGAAACAAATGTGATGATCTGGGATGAAAAGACCAGTTGCTACAGTACCCCTTTTGTAGTGATTGACATAGCTATTTGATTATATGTAACTAATATGATCACATTCTGGGACCTAACAATCCCTTCCAGTGGGGTCAAACTAGCATAAGATTCCAGCAGGAATGTCCATTGCATGTCCTCATGTTAAACATGCAACTATTACTTTAATGTGAGAGCATGTGACAGTTAAGCTGTGTATGTCCTACTTGCCATGCTTGAGCCCCATTATCTATTGGTGGGATAAACTTGAATGTGCTGGGGCATCTAGGTTCTCGGAGATCAGTGAACACGTTTTGTCCAGATATCCAGACTTGGTCAGAAGACAGCTGCAACCTGGTGCAAAGTAGACATTGCAAACGTACAGCTTGCATTACTTCAAATGCTGGCCACACACGCTAAAATGTGTGTTAAAAACTAAAATGTGTGTGCACAGCAGTGTCTGTGTTAATGAAAACTATTTTTTGTGAATTTATCCATGTCATGTCTGTTCAGTAAAATATTAATGCACCTGTTAAAAAAAAGTCATTTTCCCCAATAACTGAATGGTGCAGTTATAAATTATCTGATTTGTACCATGCAGTATATGATTAATACCACCACAAATAACACCTTAGCTTAATGATTGAGAACCATTTATTATAAATCAAAATTTGACAATAAAATCAAATATTTACTAAAAGTATGCATAAAATGATATGTATAGCATCTTTAAACTGATTAAAAATTTCAAAATAAAAAATCTGGAAGAACTCAAAATGACAAATAAATTACATCTTCTATGGAAAACACAATTACAGAAGTGACTGAAAATTCAAGTGATAAAAGTTGTCCATTTTTTTTTCTTCTTCTGTATACAGATTCAAATTTGTGTCACATGCAAAGAAGAAACGAATATAAAGGAACAAAAAATGACCCAGTGAAAACATCGCATATTAGCAGCAGCATCAATGTCACAGCAATCAGATGTTAAGACGGCCACAAATGAGCACAGGGCCCTATCAACAGGTCACCATTTACGATAACGGCATACGTTCCTGGAGGCTTGCAACAATTCAGAAAACTCCAGTGCACCCTTAAAAACGGTTTAAGAAACACAAACAAATTACAGGTTCTACTACAATAACATAACACTGTGCATGTTTCCTAAACAGCCTATTTGCAAATAGTGTAGTGGTACATCTGTGATGAAAGTCTGGTTTCAGAAGTCTTCTGCTGTTCTCACAGCACCTCTCATCTTAAGGACTCTCTCAAACGAAAGTGCACATGTGGTGAACTGTCTAATAGACTTCAGTATTACCTAAAGAAACTAAACAAGGTACACAAGCGTTTTCACAAAATAGTCTTATGTTCTATTTTTTAGGAGCATTCACCTTATACAATCTTTTCTTCTTGAAGACAACAGCAACAACAACAACAACAACTGAAGGACACAGTGGCTTTTTAAAGTAGTGCAAGCAAACTTGGAGAAGGAGGTTTGATGGTACAGTATGTGTGTGTTTGGGGCAGGTAACCTACAAAAGATCTGTGACTGTCAAGGAGGCAAACTCATATACAGCCACTATTTCTTCCAATGCAGGTGTAATTACAGGATGATAAATGATAAAACCGCAAATAATTTTAATTTACTGAACGCAAGTTCCTTCCTATTTAGTATAAAAGATTAAGATTTAGCTGATACTTGCTCATTGAGAGCTGCGCTGACAAGCATGTTGTACCCGCCTTTTAGATATTCAGAAACTGGTGATACAGGGAGTAACAATGACAAAGGAAGAGTCACACAACAGAACTGTTTCCAATAGTCAGGAATACTGCTCAGATTAAGGCAGATGCACGACTGATGGCATCATGCTCTTTGGTTTAATGCTACTGTGGTAAAGTTTTAAATAAACCACTAGTGCTGGACTGAGAGCAATCAGTAGAAAAGAGATTCCGTACCATCATTCTGATGCTAAAAGACACTCAAATATCACATTCCAGTACAAGCTTTCCGAATGAACTGAGCCCCGTTCCTTAATTATGACTGTACCTTGCGATACATTTTACAGAAAAAGCAAAAGCAAGAACTGATAGAATTTCTGGACCAGATTTCTTTTGTTGAACACAGAATGTAAATGCAGTAACGAAGTTGGAAGCAAGAGAAAAAATCCAAAAGAGAATCCAAGGCTCAACTTCACCGCTACATACTGTATGACACTTTGGGGAGTAAAGCAGTTTTTCTGAAAAATGTATTGAAGGCGAAGCTGTGAATGTGAAAGCATTCCAAAAACATTACATATACACATTCTATAACAGCTTAATGTACGAGTAAGAGACCACACCACCACAAATGGCCAAAGAAGGTGTTGTAAGTGCTTAAAACATGTTCAAAACATGTTGAATTTGTTTTATATTCTCTATTATTTTTATACCTTTATCACCTACGAAGAGCTACAGGTTGCAAAATTCTACTGCTTATGGGGTTATACCAAGTATTTCTCTTAACCTTTGCTCAGCTGTTAAGGGCATAAGATACTCAAGTGCCCTACCAATTTTGTGGTAAAGAACTAAAATCACCTAGTTGTAGATCTTCAAGAAACTTAAATCGTAGAAAGTTGTGAAGCTTGCGCTGGTTTAATCATTAGACCTGCAAAAGCAAATAGAGCAGAAATGCTAAAAATACATCAACCCCAAGAAGCTGCTTCTCTGTGCAGCAAAGGGAACTGTAACAGTTCAAGAAAAACAAACTGAACAGCTTCTGAACAGGAAGTTGATTCATTTTTTCACCTTCATCTGTAGTACTGTTTATAGTGGCATTTATAGTTAATTGTTACCAATTGGTCTTTTGGCAAAAGATCTCTACGCATTTCCATTCAAAGTAAATTTATGCATTTATTTTGTATATTAAAGCTTTCATACTTCTAGAAAAAAAAGGCTCAGGAAGCTAGATGTTTAATATTCTTTGAAGATTGTTCAATGTTCAAAATTAATAGACATGAAAGCCCAAAGACAACAGAAATATAATACCCACAGCACTAAGAAGGAACTCAAGATGTACACAGAATAATGTCCTTCCAAATGTTTAAGAAAACACTCCACCATATTCAACATTAAAAACAGTGGAAGGCAGATTTTCTGAAGACACCATAACACTAGCATGAAGCTCATATTTGAATTTACAAACCTGGTAAAAGCACTGCATACACATAGTCCATGACAGATCATACCATTTTGGTGCAGCAATATAAACATACTCTTTTTTATTTTAACAATGGTTTGCTTTTCAATGCTAATGAATTAATTCATTTAAGTTTCCAGAATGTAGTTATAGGTACATTAGAAAATCATTTTCTCCTTTATACAGTGAGCTGCAACTGGTACAACCATTTTTTTTCTTGAAATACTTGCAGGTACTTAAAATACTTGGCGGAACAAGTGAAAATTTGTGATTTCTGAAGCAGCAGATATTGGAAAGAGATCCGATAAGGTTTGTGTCTGCAACACTAGATCTCAGTGGAAAACAAATGTATACAACCTAGATAACACCACAAAACTGTGACATGAAAGTTTCAAGGGTAAGAAAACAAACATCAGCTTTTCAATGCTTCCATCATGATTCCACTGTGATTTCACTGTGCGAAATGCTGCCAGAAACTACAACCAGAATCTAAGTATGCACTAAACATTACTTATTGCAGTTCTTGATATTTGTTTTCCTGTTCCTCATAGAAGCATTGAATTTAACAGTTCAACACCCTTTTTCAAACAAGACAAAAAAAGCTTAACTGAACCTGCAAAAAGCCCTAACATTCAGACGGTCTTTTATCAAGCAGCCCCTAAAGGGTCTTGCTGGCAAACAAAAAGGGAACACCTATTTATTACACAAATTAGACAATCGCCACCAACATTTTAGACGTGACAAAATTTAGTGTCCATGAATGAGACGAAAGCTGTTAGTTTGCAGAGCGTTTTGGCCGGTACAAAAAGTCCGATATGTGCAGCAGCTCAATAGTTTAGGCTATGTTATATGCCTGAAAAAAGGGCTGTTGCTTGTGACATTTTTTATCAAAAAAAGTATGGCACAAAAAATACCTGCTTCCTGACAGGATTTTTTATTTTCTCAACTTTGCCCATCCCTCCTTCCCCATTCCTGGCAACCTGGCCTTAATGCGGAATAAATATGTGCTGCTCCACAGTGATAAGACTTGCCTATCAAGAAACAAGGCAAATGTACATTCTTTTACAATCCATTCATTAAAGCAAGCTAATTTTGTTCTTTGTTGTTGTTGTGCAACGTGTCAGCAGTTCATACAGCAGTATTCTGTTACAGTTCGATCCACACAGTCATTCGCTCATCACACAGACACCACGTATACATCCATCACAGGTGCGGCCCAGCTGGGTCGGACAAACGCTCAGCCTGCGTAGCCATCATCGTCGGCACGCTCTCCCCTCTTGGCCCGTTCGTTGACGTTTCCACCTCCCCCTTGCTGGATGCCGCCTTGGAGCTGTGTTGGGGGTCTGGAAAGAGTTCTGCCTTTCGCTCCGGCTGACGCGGCCCCAAGTCTGTTTCCAAGCTCTGGATTACCGCTGGGGTCAATGATAGTGTTGATAACTGCAAAAAGTCACAAGGCTGTCAATCTCACCCCAACTGCACCACTGTGTCGGCCATTACACTCCTCTACAAAGATTTGAGAAACACCGAGTGCATTTACTTTCTAAGACATTCTATGAAGTGGAAATTAATTTGATTAAAAAAATGAATTACATTCACCTGGAGAGAGGTGATATATATAAAAACAATCATATAACCTGAACTGCTGCCTGCTATTTTAATGGGCTAAACTCAGCAGTTTATTTTTGCTGTTTTCATCCCTTCTGCAATTCTATTGTAGTTTGCTGTTGGTAAAAAAAAATCACACCTGTTCCAGTTTCTTTTTTTGCAGAAAAAAATCGATTCATTTTAAGTTAAATTTTCACTTAGTTCTGTAAACCAATATTCATTTCCATGCAGTTCATTTTTTCATAAAAGAAAGTGGACTTTGAATGCAACTAAGTTAGGTAAAGAAAATTAACAAACTTACTGTAAATGTGGACATTTTTAGCAAGAAACACATTACACATTTATGAACGCATGGATCTGGGTGATTTTTGTTTTTTTCTTGAATGTTGTCATAATTCTGTATCTATGTGCCAATTATAGTGCTGTCAAGACAACAAATGTGGCTCTTTTTTCAAAATATGTACGGATTGTAACGTACACACTTGCAAGCTTAGTTAAGGAGAAAAAACAAAATGTAATTTCGAAAAATCTTTCCATTACTTTACAAATTTATAAATTCCAATCTTTACAAATTACTTTAGAAATAAGAACATCATAGTTGCATTCAAAACTTTTTAACAAAAAAGAACAGAAATTCACACTATGCTATTATGCGCATACTGTATATTGTAATACATGGATCCACACATTTTCTAAAACCTTCTGTTGTACATCTATGTGCCAGACGTACTGCCAATTGGCAGCTGCATAAAGCACAGACACTCAAACACAAAGATAGTGAGTTTTTTATAGTGCAGTTACAGTAGCTCTTAATATTTAATTCTGCAAGCCTACCTCTATAAAAAAAATCAACAGTAAATTCTCTCACAGGAAAATGTTAAAAGTAAAGACTACAAACTCTTCTGTCCAATGAGCCTCTGCCCTTTATTTACAGTACAAAGAGAAAAAAAGTTAGAATGGATGTGCAGCACTGACCTTCCAGTTGTTTCTGAACTCTTCTTAGTTCCTTTAGAATAGAGCTGATCTCCTGAAAAGAAAAATAAGAGACACTTGCTGTATAAAGGAGAAAAGATACATACAGTACAGCATAAGGAATGTGTTCAACTTTTTTCTTTTAACACAGTGATGAAAAATAAAAACACAACATTCCATGTTTTACACCAGGAGCACATGGAACAGAACAAAATATTATTTTCAATGGGTTTATTACTTTTTTTAATTAATAATTAATTAATCTACTGAGCTCAAGTAATGTGATTTACATGTATTCAGTGTCTGGCAAATGAAAAGGGTTAAAAATCTAAAAAGTGTGTTGATTAGAAAACTATATAAATAGCCATGACATGACACAATGCTATAACAATGAATATACAGTATAACAATTATAACAATGAATGATAACCATGTTCTACTGGACTAATAGAGTCCACCTGGTTGGCACTTGTTGAAAACATCCTATCTATGAGAGAGGCTGCACAAAGAATGAGATGTGCTACTTCAATCAGCAAACTAGCCTAGAGAATACAGAAGATATTCTTTATTTCCTAATAGTCAGGGCTCTTCCTTCGAGGTAGAGGGTCACCTCAGTAGGTCCAGTACCTTCGCCTTGTTTTTAAACTGTAGTGGCACAGCTGTATTGAAGCTGTATTTAAGTTAATCAGTTACAGAACTGTACTGAAGTGATTTAAAAAAAGACTAAATGAACAATTAAAAAAAAAATAATTTTAAAGCCCTGTGGTTTACTATGGTATTTCTCTACAAATTAAAAACAACTGAAAAGGAGCGGGCCTTGGTTAGGTCTCATTTCAGGCTGCCTTTAAATCTGGAAAAAAAGATGGTAACCTTGTTAGATGTTTTCAGGATCGGGACTTCATTTTCAGAGTTAATTTTTGCTTCAATTTCCTCCCAGCTTTCCATCTTGTTCTGAAATAAAATCCTGACAAGATTCCAATCAGAAAAAAATTAATGTTTACATTAGACAGGCAAATTACACACCTACACCTTAGGTCTATAATGGCTCAGAGGTTAGTATTCATTTTTAATAAATGGCTGGTAGATTTAATTGTATAGTCCAATGACATATTTCTAATTTTGAATCTACTTCTTAAGAATCTACTTATTTCTCCAACATGTAAATAAAGGTAGAAACTCTTAAGAAGTGTTCATCATGGATGATACTTCAGTATTGACCAAGGGAGATCGCAAATTGCATATATTCTGTAGAAGAGTCACAGACTCTTATACAGTATTTTCTGGTACCTCAGTTCTGATTTAATTGACAGAACAGAAACACCATCAACACAGAAAATACAGGTAAATTAAGATATACACAAACCTAATGCACAGATCAACAGGAATCTTTTGAAAATTATTATTTTGGACATTAATACAAACATATATAAGAAAGCTTTTGTAATTACGAAGGAAGACAAAAACAGTATAGCTCACTTCATTTTCTCAGCAAGTTGCTCAGTATTTTCCCGGATAGCCTGAGAGAGCTGTGAAACAGGGTTTAACATCAGGTTGTCCAAAATAACCTGGAAACAAAAATATGTATTATTACTAAGACAATTAAGCATTCATCATCTGCTCTACTTTAATTCCATTATCTAGACAAAATGATTATCTGATCACATAGTCTTACCACTGAAATTTTAGTGTAATATGAATGCTAGCAGGAACCCAGTTTTCTTTAAAATGGGATCCTGTTGTTAAATTGCAAAAAGAACCTAAATTAATCACCTCTTCTCTATTCCATGCTCGGCGCTTGGAGTTGATGTCTTGATCATTCATATTCTGATCAACTTCCTTCTTAACTCCAGCTGAACCAGGAGGGACTTTCTGGAAGTTCAGACTGGCCTCTGGGATGTGTTGGACCAACTGAAAGGCAACAAAGACAAAAGCTGAAGAAGTCTTAAGGAGTATGAAATACAGTAGAAGCCTAGTACAAGCATAATCATTGTTTTCTTGTGTTATGCATCCTTTTATGTTCAGTGCTTTTTAATTTTTTGTTATGAAAAGTAGTTGAACTTGGAGAAAATAGGTCCCTGCCAATACTTAGAAAGAAGGTCACAGAAGGAAGAAAAGATGAAGCAAAATGTAGAAATGGATTATGCACCTGGGATGAACGGACTGCTCGGGGAGATGGAAATGTTTTCTGTACATAAGGAGAGAAAAAAAAATCTATATAAAGCAAACAACAACAGAAGACAGACATGTTATATCCAGAATTAATCAAGGTTTCAATTTACCACATTCTGTCAATGACCTATTGTAATTTAAAACTACTACACAAAATGTGGTGTATGTTCTATATAAGCCTCATACTGTACAGAACTTTTCCAAAACAAAGATGTCTAACTGATATAATTTGTTGTCTATGGATGACTTTCGAACTTTGTGTCATGGCAGCACCTTCTCACCCTCAATGTGCTTAAACTGCTCTGAATTTCATATTTCACCATTACACGCCAAAGATACGAAATACCATTCAGTAGACAACTGACCAAAAGTGTGACACCTTTGAAAGAAAATTAAATCAAATTCAAGAAAACTTTGAAATCCACCATCAGACACCAATCTGGACAGCGTGCAGTACAGAATTTGGTGACCTGTTTTACTCTGGCTTTTACCAAGACTTTTTAAAGTGAAATTTACTATGCGTTTTAATACAGATTATAAACGTAACTGAAATGGAAGAAAATTCAATGAGATGTCCATAAACAGAAAGGTTGATCAAATGAAGGAGCTAGCCGAAGTAGCGTGCCTGAGCCAGTACCATACCTCTTCTCTGGCAGAGATGGTGGAGGCAGGGGTGTTGGGCACGGAGCTGAGAGAGGTGCTGGGCCCCGTCCCCGAGGAGCTCTGGGAGTCGGCGTCTCCGGCCACGTCATGAATTTCTCTGGCCAGGATTGCAAGGTCTTTGGCCAGGTCCTGACTCAGCCTGCGTGGGGCAGACAGAGCCGAAAACACTGCTCCGGTGACCAGCAATCAGGCAAGCAGGACTTGATGGCAACAAAATCATACAGTGATCAAACACATAATTGCAAGAAAACACAACAACGCATCATGTATGATCCAAGGCCTGAGGAACAGTCTAGATGAATGTAATACATACATCACAGTCTCAGAGGAATTATGGGAAAACAACAATTCTACCATTTTCCTGGGACACTTAATATTCATGGCAGTTTCCGAGTACTACTCAAAGGTTCTTAAAGGGTTATAACAGCAAGTTGGTAATATCACTAATTCTAATAGGTAGAAATTTGTAATTTATACAATTTTTGTATAACATTTGCATAAAATTGATATTTACTTTGGAGATTTAAACCTTACTCTAAAGTGAGCCCTTCAAATCTGACTGGCTAAGAAGCACTTGCAGGCCCCTACCTCTAAGCGCATGACTACTCTACTATTAAATACAGAGCAAATTTTGACTGAGCCATGAGTATTCCAGCAAGCGTGAAAAACTCAAACCGTGCCGTTTGCTCAGCAGAATAAAAGACTCCGCTCATTTGCAACTCAGTGTCTTTACTGGCTCCATGGTACCTCGCTATCTCGGCGCTGTGTGTGGACCAGTGCTGGTAGGGATCAGCCTCGTTGTCTTCCTCCTCCTCGGTCTCCCTAGAGCTGTACTTCTGTCTGGCCGACCCTGCGGGCTGAGTTCTTCCGGTCTGAGTGGCTGTTGAAGCATGGGAGCGTTTATGTTTAGAGGAGCCGTGGTTGGAGTCGTACTCCTCCTCTGAGGTGGACGTGTAATCTGAGCCCTTCTGCCGTCTTCTGGAGCCTTCAGGAATGAATTGGTTTTCGGGAAGTGGGGTTGGGGGGCATAGAGGGGTGGAAAGGTGTGAAGTGGGAATGAGGTGGGAAAGAAGAAAGAACATGAGAGAACACCATGGAACCCAAACACCAGTCTCCTGTTATGTTAGGGTAGAAGAGGGAGAGTAAAGACCTTTCGCACACGTAATTGTGAAGTGCTCATTGAGGACTGAAACTCCGTTTACACAACATGGCTGACATACTGTACTTCAATTAAAACTGTTTTAGTGAATTTTTAATGCAATGCAATGCAATGTCACAGTTTCATTAGTGATCAGGAAAAATAATATACTGTATGCTTACTAGATGGCACATTCTGTATGCATGTAAAAAGAAATCAGATTTGATTTTCTTAACAATAAATCATTATGGCCACTATGGACAACTGCAGAAATGATTGTTAATTACTCAATAAATTATTTAAATTCATACTGCTAAGTACTGGACCTAACATGAAGGATTGGGAGAGTCTTATCAATAAGTGTACAATGGTTCGGTTTTGATCAAACTCCTAACATTCCTCAGGTTTCACAAAGTTTAAGTTTCGCCTCAAATGAACACTTCATTAATTAAATAAAAATAAGAATAACCCCAATTAAATTCACACTTGCAAATGAGATTTATGTAATTTGAAAACTACTAAATATCAGTATATTAATGGACACAAAGGGCGGCCAGATATATTAACAACTTCTACCCATTCTTCAGTATGTTTGGCCCTTATTGAAAACATCAATAAGCCATCACTTTAGACTTTTATGTGACTGGTTTGGTCGCAAAAAAGTCAAAAGTACTGTGGGGTGCAGTAAACAAGTGCAATTATATTTGTGAGGTTTTTTTAAAAAATGGAGGATAATTAGTATTTGAGTTTGATGACTCTTATACTAAAATGATATACTGAATGAGCTAAAGCTGTACTAAAATTGCCAGAAATGACTAAACTTAAAGTTGCACCAGTTTGTTAAGAGTATTTAAAAGCCTGTTTTAAACAGTCACAGAAATTGGGAAAACAGTCTATTAACTATAGCTGGTAAAACTATAGCAAGGTGGGAATACTGTCTTCACCAAAAACAAACGAATTGTAGGATAAGAAAAAAATAGTTTGTATTCATGCTATACTACATAATTTAGGATAAACTTTTTGGTATAGGTACAGACTTGCCAGGTACACAATTATTGAGCTTTTGGATTATCTAAAATATATGTTGGAGCCTCTCACTCATAGAAGCGACAGTATCGCTATGGTGGGGACAAGATTAGCCACCTTGTATGCTGAGGTCCTGCTAATTTTACGATATTTTGGCAGTAACTGTAGGTATCTTCCAGTCTGCATTTTCACAGTGAGGCAACTATTGCTTTCCCTAAAAGCACAATCACTAAATCAACTGCCCAATTCTGACTTCCCAAAAATATCAGTTATATACAGTATACAGTATATACATATACAGCATGATACTATACATGTGTTGCTAAGCCCTACAGCTCATTCCAAGTGCATGTGTACAAAAAATAGGAAATCCACCTGTTTTATGAATGTTCAAATGGTATGCGATACAAAATCTGTAATCATACAGTTTTGACCAGGTATCAAAACGTTGAGCTTGTAAACACACAAGGCTATATGCAATTACGCTATTACTTATTTGTATTTGGAGAACACTGCAATATTTACAAATTGCTCATTTTGCTAAGGTGTCATAACAGATATTTTAGTATACTGAGGCTGTTCATTATGTTTCTCTCTCAACAGAATCTTAACTTTGTGAACTGCTGCATCAAAAACAAAACATTGTGGTCCGTGTGTTTCAGGTACATCTGGCTCTTAGCAACAACCACAACCCATATAACATTTCTATCAGTTTACACAAACTGTAAAAACAGGTTTTTGAGTCAAATTTGGATTAGAAGTAATTCTGGTTTAAATGTAAATGTTCCTTTATGGTGGGTGATGCATTTATAGTTTGTAATTCACGATAAAATATAAACTTCTACCCATTCTTCAGTATGTTTGGCCCTTATTGAAAACATCAGCCATCACTTTCAACATTCAATGTTTCCATTAAGAATACATATTAAAGATGATTATTAGATTAATCCAAGATTGAGTAATCCTACAACAGTTTATGGAAGTAGTGTAGTACAAATGTGATTAACACATACTCACAATTAACTAATAGTACCAAAGTGTGTTTTTGGATTTAATTCAAACTGGTGCAATCAGGCTTGGTTAGTTTCTTTGACCTTGCTATCAAGGTACTAACTAAAGTTAGTACTGTATTGTTGGGGGACTGTGCAGAAATATCCACAGAAAAAAATCTTATCACATTGTTTCCATTGTTGTATTATGAGAATTACACAATTTATTTAAAAAAAGCTAAGGAAATCATTTCTGAAGTAACTTGCAAATTCAAACATTATTTTAAACCGCATCTACTTCGGGAAAGAGACATTGTCAAAGGCCTTGTTAGTGTTAGCAGGTGCTCAATCTTTTTTGTATTCCTTGTATCTATTGGCAGAGAAACTGTGATCAACCTTGCCACAGATAGATCCAATTTCTAAAGAAATATAATCTCCTACTGCTAACACTCCTGCTTAATGGAAACAAGGTGTAAGACTACCCTGGAGATGTTAGTCACCAATGTGAAAACACCTTTTTAACATTAAACCAATTCATTCCGAATAGAAAAACATATGCCTTGTAAAGGAATTTACATACCACTGAGCTATGATTTGTTTTTGTTTTGTTTTTTTTGGAAATCATCTTCAATTTAGCTAAGACTACCTAAAAATAAAAGACAGTTACTGGAAAGAAAATGTCCGATTTTGTCTTATTCAACGTTATGAAATGCATTCAGCTTCCATTCGCTGTGACAGATCACAACGGAGTACTGTTACTTTATACAGTAGGTCTTCTGAAAAGAACAAGGTGCTTCATATGCAGATGTTTTTTAACATCTTTAAAAGTTCTTAAAAGTTTTAAGAACTGCATACTACAATTGAATGAGCCAACAAAACAAACAAATTTCACCAGCATTGAGATAATGGTTAACTTGCAAAGCTACTCACTGGACGAACTGGAGTATTTAGCACTGCTAGAGCGTGCCCTGGTTATGGTCTGTTTTCCTGTTGTCCCAGTGGTCTTTCTAGGACCAGGCTTGGGCTCCGGAACTGCTGCCTTGCGGACAGAGTTACTGGTCTCGATGCTCCGGTTCGAGAAGCCTGACCTTGGTGTTGAAGACTCTGTGTCACTGGGAGTGGTAAAGGAACCTGTTCTCTTGCGAGGCATGGCCAGAATGTCTAAACGAGACAGCTTTTTAGCGTCTGCCTGAGATTTTACAGGCGCGTTGACATCCGAGTTGAGAGATGCCCTGTCTGTCTCCGCACTTTCGTTATCGCTGGCCTCTCCCAGGCGGGCCCGGCGTAGCATAGAGGCCCTGGTTGGCCGTGGAGCAGACAGACTGTTCGAACGAGTGAGTGCTTGGAAGACGGGTCCTTTGGATGATTTGCTGGAGTCTTCCTTCTGCAGTGGAGTCGTGAGCTTTTTCCGTGCGGTTGGCCGAGAGCTGGACTCATGGTCTGAGGAAACGGCATCGGGCCAATAGGGAAGACTCTGGCTCTGAAGGTCTTCTGTGAAGTCCAGAGAACCCCTATTCCCTGTGCTGCGGCGCAGCTGGAACCGCTTGGTGTACTCCATCTTGTTAGGGTTATCTGTTACATTGGTCCTGCGCTTCTCAGAAAGTCGTTCACGTGCAGTGGGCTGTCTACCCTGGTCCTGGATGGAAGGAGTAGACGATGATTTCTCCTTTTGAAGACTAGTTATGACAGAACTTTTATTTGGTGCTGTGCTGGGAGCATTTTTGCTGCTAACGAGGCTCACAGTACTGGCTGTATCTACGTCAGACTCTCCAGACAAAGAGTCTTCCAAGCAATTACTGGATCTGTCGTGTTTCTGACTTTGGCCATGACCCTGCGCCTGGAATTTGGCTTCTAGAGCTGCCAGAGCATTTTCTGTGTCCTTGAGGAAAGATTGAGTGTCCTGGTTGCATTCTGTCCTGAAGGCATCCCCTACACTTAGATCCTTCAAAGCTGGGTGGCTAGAGATGTGAGGAAGCTTGTTGATCTGGATGTCATCACTGGGTCTATCTTTGGTGAAGCTTTCCTGTCTGACAAATGAAATAGGGGGCTCTATTGGAGGCAGGGCTTCTTTCTCCTGGGAATGACTTTTATGGGCTGAGGGAATTGGTTTGACTGGCTTTGGGGTGTCTTGGCTCCTTAAAGGCTTTATTAAAACAGTTGTTGCAGAAGGCTTGGAGGAGGAGATGTCATAATCTCTCTCAGCATGAGTGAGGACTATACTATGTGGTATGTCTGGTTTGGAAGGGGTCTCTTCTGTCCCAATGTAAAAGGATGTGGATTTTGTTGAAGCGGAGGTCTTTTCTTCCACTCTGCACTGACTGCCACTTTTATCACCCCAAGATTTACTCTGCTTGGCTTCATCAATTGTTCTCCCTGTTCTGCGCTTCCTGCTCCTTTCCACTATAGAGCCATCGTCTGACTTGCTGGCATCACTTAGACTGTCAGGGTCCAGGTCATCCTGAACACACAGCCTTTGGGCAGTTTCCTGCTGTCTGGGAGTGCTGGAGCCCCTCTCAGGTGTCTCATAGCCAGTGTTAGGCTCATGCTTGATGAGAATGCTGGGTGTAGGGCTTTCTGGCTTGTCTGTTGGTGGCACTTGTGGAAGGAGCCTTCTTGTTCTCGAACCTTGGCTGCTCTCAGAATCAGTGTTTTCGATAATTCGGACAGACACGGCCTGGTGGATGATTTGCCCTTCTATATAGAGAAACAAGCACAACATTTCAGGAAAAGCGTTCATCACCTGTAACTGTCAAATTCCAATTTGCAATAGGTTAGTTAGATAAAGCTAATTTACATAAGTCAAGACTGACATGTTTAATGTACTAAGAGGTGACACTGTGGTGGAAGGCAAAAAAAAAGATTTCTGGAATCCTCACATGTAGAACAACTACTTTCTATGATTATGTTTGATTTCAACATAGTTGTTCATCATGAGAGTAAGTAGTGGGCCAGGTTTTAGAATATTTAACCATATTGTAAAAATTACTCATTACAAATGGGGAAAAAACTCTTGTAATGAGACTTTTCTACAAATAATGACTATTGCAATAACTGCATTTCAAGCCTTCATATTTCACTCAACTGGTGCTCGAAATAACACACAACTAACAGCTGTACAATATTTTAATTCAATATTTTGAAATTCCATTGTGAAACATTAAAAGACTAGAAAGATTCCACAGCCATTTCATTTAGCATTGCTCTTTGTATCATCTCTTTTTAAAATGTAAGGAAGGTACATTTTATTTTATAGAAATAGGCATGAATAAATTGTGGCAATTGAAACAAATTGCAATCTTGTCTTGTCTTTGACCCCTCACCTCCATCAGCCACTTCACCTTGATGCTTTGCGTCTACGTGACCCCCTGCGGACCCAGATTCACTGTAGCTGTCTGCCAGACTAGCCCACCGAGAGACCCACTTGGGACCCCCGACACCCACAGGGCCAACTGGTCGCATCTGCAACAGCAACACCAACTGTGGTCACTGACAACTCTGAACTGGTGGGAAGCAATGCACTGAAGTTGTTAGAGTGATTAAGTCATTTCACAGCCCATGTCAAACACCACACTGTTTCTCCGAGATCTGTATTGAACTTCAAATTTCGGTAGAAGATACCCAAATTTGAAGAAGAGAAGAAAAATCAGTGTTTAAATTTTTACATTTTCCTCATCAGGCTGGTCATACAGTATTTCCCAAATCACTATATATTTCAATCAACTGGTAGACAGAAAAAGCCTTAGTCCTGGTGTAATAAGGATGTTTGTTAGATAAGAGGACAAAGCAGACATCCTCAAGCCTCATGCAAATACATGGTGCTTAGGAGAGGTTCCTGTTGGAACTGTGAGGGCAGAGTTTAAAACAAATTTGGAAAATGATTCCTTTAATAACTTACAATTCTATAAATGCTGCTCAGATCTTTTAGTTTTTTTAACCTCACCCACTGTGAGTACACAAACAGTGAATATATATAAACACAAAATGAAGAAAGATTTAGATTTGTTTCGTATACAAATCAATGCTAAATTATTGAAAAACTTTTTAGAATTACTACAATATAACCTGGTAGAGAAATACTGCTATATTTCTTTGTGTTTCTTGAAATACTGGAGTCTTCCTTACTGGCATGTGTTGTGAAATGACTTTTAAAAAGCAGCACTGAAATAAATACTGTTTTGTGAGGTTGAGATATTTCTGAGATATCTGACAGATATCGTAGTTACAGGTACAGGTTACAGTTACAACTGGAATAAAAATAAAAAAAGACCAATGAAATGGCAATGTAGCCAAAATGTCCGTGTCAGGATAAGTAAAATGTTAAAGACTTTCATACTGGCAAAAGTGTGCCTTTTAAACGCACAAATACATCAACCCCCAAGTACATATCCCAGCACTGCTATAAAATAATTATTTCCACCCAGCAGAGAGAAACCTCAACTGGTGAGACAAAGGGTGAAACACTAGAATAAAAAATAAACAAGGAAAAATAGAGAGGAAGCAAGGAGAAAATCAAAATGTCACTTCAACTCAACAAATGCGTGCATGCTAATTTGTGCTTCTTCTAGAAATGATTGATGAAATAATTGAGGCATAGATGTGACCAGTGTGTTGAATCAGTGAGTAACACGCTGGCTAGGATGCATTACCTGAGCTCCTCCAGCATGTTGGCCACTAATGGCAGCTGGATTATAGCCCTGCACTGGAGTTGCCTTTTGATCCAGAGAACTACTTTTGCTATGCCGACAGCTAGTTTGTTCTTCCCTGTCATCATTAATTACGGGCCTATATATGCCCGTAGAAACGCCGGTGTACTCGGGGGACTCGAGAACACCAAACACCTGTTAAGATAAAGCATGTGTGAGAAGAGGTGGTCTGGATCAGGTGATGGACAGCAGATTCATTTCGCAGCATAACAGAGTACTATTAAAAGGCATTATGTGGACAACATTTTCTATACTGCCCTTCATAAGTCACAATACATGAAGAAAGGTGTAAACCAAGTTAAAACAGAAAAAAATAAATCAATTAATACATAAGGTGTAACAAAAAGCAGTAGGTCTTTAAACAAGCTTTATTCTCCTCTACAAATTTAGAATTTCTAACAATATAAAGGCCTTGTCATTAAGGATACCGATTAAGAAATGAATCTATATTCTCATTTCCCAAGACTGTACTAAAAATATTTAATCTCGGGAAACAAATGGTAGCAAATATCTAAACTGACATATTTTCAAATCACATAATTCCATTTAACAGTAGTTGTATTCGCTCAAGGAGCAGTATTTAGCTTTCATTGCAGGTACACCTTAATTTTACATGTTGTTCAAAAGCACAAAATTTTCACACCCAGGCAAATTAGGTAAAAAAAACGACATGCCAAACACTTAAACAACAGGGTCCAGGAGTAAACTGAGTCATTTTTTCACATACTCATAATTTTGCAGTGGTCTGGCATTTAAGCATTTAATTATGGACACAGTTGACTACAAAAGCTAAGGATTATGAATAAAGTGACAGAAATATAGTTATTTATTCTTATAGTATTACATGGCCTAATATTATGACCGCCATGTGTATGCAGGTTATTAGAGAGCTATCTAGTTAAAACTATAAATTCAGAAGGACAAAATCAGCTAAATCAGGTTCCACTTTGGAATTACATGGCTGATTTTACACCATCCTTGAAATCACACAACATATTGTACATCATGGAACAGTGATATTTAATGTCTAAAGGCAGCTGCTTGAAATGGGTCCTAAGCTTTTTGCTTTGAATCAATTTAAATGTATCTTTTCCCATGCATTTCAAGTGATATCTTTTAAATTCTTATAAATAATTTCAATTTTACAACTCTAAAACAGAAGCCTAACAGAATGCAGCAGATAAATGTAATTGCAGCTGACATGCCTTTCTCTTCAGCATGTACAGAAATACAAGGGTCATGAACAAAAGCCAGCTAAATTTGGAAGTGAGGAATATGAAGGCCAAAGGCTGGACCACTGCTTTTCATTCAGCCCTGGGGAGATTTCTGATTGGTGTGTTCGCACTCATCGCTAGCATGACGCATCAGGGGAGCATGGCCCAGCATGCACAAGGGACACAGGGGAGGGTCAGAGACTTGGAAGAACAGGATAAAATGCAGGTAAATAAGGCTGCTTAGGTTGGAGTTGTTCGCAACTTTAGCAGGAAGTAGAATTATATTTTACAGCATTTTACCCAAAAGATAATTTTTTTTTGCCATCACTCATAAAAATAAAAAACAAGCATCACAACAATCTTCAGGTTTTATCTCTTACAGACAGTGATGTTTCTCCTGGACTCAGTCCAAAAGATAAGCCTAGAAGTCATTTGTCACTAAAGGAAACACACTTTACGTACTCAAACTACAGATGCCAGACAATCCTCTCTTCTATGGCTGTTGAAGAGCTTCTTTTTTTTTTCCTTTTTTGAAGTTAGCATTTAAAACAATATTGAATCAAATCAGCGTTGAAAGGCTAAGGGCAGTAAAATTGCAGAAATTGCAGTCCCAATTTCTCAGAGCGATTATTAGGTCTTGGTAACAAAATAATTTTGTTGACATTATTGAAAAAAATGTAAAATTTCAAATAAAGCACAAAATCGTGAACTTTGTGAAAGTATTGTAAGTCACCATGTAGTCGCAAACTCGCATTCAAGTTTCTACAAATTGCAACAAGCCCTTCCTGCTCACTAGTCTCCTTAATAACTAATATAATGTGATGTACAAATGAATAAATTATGCAGGTTATGCAGCAGATAATTCACTGCAGAAATGTTCCAAAATTGATTGGCATGGAGAGTTAACATTGTATTTGTTGGCAAAACTGTCTTAAAACCGAAAGCAATATTTCTATTGCATTAAAAGCTATGTATTCATAAGCCTGCTTGTTTACAGTGTCATAGGGCCGGCACATATCTCCGGACGTTTTGTCGTCTCATTTTGAATCGCATACCTGGAAATTGAGTTTATTTTGTGATGAAAACAGGAGAATTTACAAGCTGTTTACATTTTACTTTCATTGAGGTATGAAATGCACTCATCAATGCCGATTCTTTCTAACCCTCGAAATATGAAAATAGCATTACAGTTCCCCTTTAAAATATGGTAATGACAAAGTCAGATGTTGCGTTTTATTAAGGAAGAGCCTTATATCACTTTATTACTCACACTGAATGTAAGTAGTAATATAATTTCTCTTAAGATGGTGTCGTCATACACAAATCATTCAGTTATGACACATACCACAGGGCTTAATTTTGACTTGAAGCTTAAAGCCCTGAAGGCCTAAATGGTCTTCTATAGCAGATGAAAAAAGCTTAGCCGGTCTCTCAAGAAATGATATAATGTTCTTTTCTCAATGCTGTGATAAGGAACTTTCTAAGTAATTGGTTGTAGGTTTTCTAATTTATAATCAGAATCAATGTCTCATGACTTTGTCAATATTGCAAAAAGTTACAAATAGATAACAAGGAATCACAGCTTACAAAATAACATTGTAAGAAAAGATGAGGAGTGTCTACTTTTGAGAAATTGTTGTTCCTGTAATAAACTGTGTTTATATGCAATACTGCCATACTAAATAAAAACATGACAAAATTAGAATATTTACCATAATAATCCATTGATTCCACCAAAATGGTAGTGATGGAACACAAAAAAATACAGAAAAAGACTCCAGAAGCTTGCAAAAATGACACTTTTTATTTTTATCAGTTATTATCAGAGACTGATTAATTGACTAAATATTCACTATCTTAAAAATGCTAACAATATTGATCTTGGTAAAAAGGTTTGTTAAAGAAAGGAGCCTTCCGTAGTCTGCCATTTACCTGCTCAACTTTATCTGCTCATTCACAGTATCTGCTCAAGTCTTTTCTGAAAAATATTTTGTGTTGCATGTACAGTGCTGTTACAATACGTACAAAATGTGAGAGCTTGACTGTGTTTTACAGGAAATATATAACTGCTCTGGCAGACTTTTTCAGTTTGCTTGGTACAATTTACAAGATGACACTGGAAAGTCATAAGCAGACTGTGTAAACACACTGCTGGGTATATTTCATATTCTGAGTGCTCTATATTTAGATGAAAATCCATTTTCTCCAGGACAACGTAAACAACCTGGATCAATTTGTTTTGCTAGAAAAAACAGTGAATGATTCCACAGAACACAAATACTGTATTTAACAGACCAATGTCCAGATTACATATAAATTTTAACAACTCACCAATAGAATATTACACATTACCCGGAATATGATAGACTTAAGACAACCAAATGCCTGCCAGTACTGAATTTGTAATGTCATCAGGAGGGAATCTGAGGACAACTGTGACAAGTCTAACATGAAGTGACCTGTTTTTGTGATATAGGGGTTGAAGTTTTGACTTAATCAGGACCTTAAAGTCTTAAATACTGCCAATGATGATCAGATTATTGTCATTGTTGTATTTTTGTAGTGAGATTAAAATTCCTGTGGAATGAAGATTTTATAGGCCACATAAAATGAACTAACTTAATTACAAACATACTTAATACTGTGCAACATAAATGGGAACTTATGGAATGTCACTACTGACACTGAACAAAAAACATACCATCAAGGCAATAAGTGATTAACACGTACTGTAGGACTCCCCTTACCTGATCAATCATGTTGCGGGCCTCTTCCACCTCTTTGTCTTGGGATTCGGTCTCAATGGTGTAGGTTCCAGCATCACTGAGGCTGTCCTCTTCCTCATTCCTCAAGGCTTTTGAGGATTTCAGATCCATGCCACAGACAGCAAGGGGCAACAGTGGGGCTGGGACAGGAGTAGAAGACTGAAGAGGAGGTGAAGACTGAGGAGAAGAGAGAGCAGGAGGATGAGAGAGGGAAGGAGAAACCAGAACTGGTGGAGCAGAAGCAGGAGGCGGAGATGTCTTTTCACGGGTTGGAGAGACGCCATGGACTGACTCTCTCAGGAACTCTGCCGCAAATTCCTGGGCCAGCTTGGACTTCTTTCCCATGCTTCCAAAGGGCTTGACAGTGACAGAAGTGCGGGAAGAGAACAGAGACGATCCTGTGCAGAGGCGATCTTCGGTCTTCTCCCTTTTCAGGGAACTCGCCCGCTGAGGTGCACCATGGGTCTTCAGAGGCACTGTGACCTGCTGCGTTGGTGGGATGTGACCTGACGCCACCATGGCAGTTCTCTCCCCAGCCAGGGCCCCCTTACGCTTCTCCAGCTTAGCTTTCAGGGCGGAGTAAGAGTCGGCGTGCGCCGAGTTGTGAGTGAAAGACTGAGATCTTTTCTTGCGGGGGTTGTCATCAAAAAACTCAATAACGAAAGCCTGCTGGTTGAGCACCTCCTCGGGTTCTGGCTTGGCCTGGCTCCGAGGGGGAGAGTGCGACCCCAGTGGAGAGCAGGCTGGCTCCTCGGGAGCCAAAGGGGCAGCTGGCTGGTGATGCTGCTGTTTGTCTGGTTTCTCTGCCAGGATGGGGTCCTCAGAGTCACTCTGAGTCCCATCTTCATGATGATGGCCTGCACAGAACACAAACGCGTGGAAAGAGTTTTCTTTAGACTAGAGAGCAGAAACGAAAATATTTAAAAAACAGTCCTCCTTTACATATGAATAGGAAAACTGTGCTTTTTGTCAGATCTCAGATTCCTTGTTTGTCTACTCACAAAGAAGGGGAGACGACAAACTGTAGAGAAAAAATTAACTTTATACAATTTATTTAAGCAACTAAGTCAATTGATTAATTCTCATTTTACAATGATAATTTGTACAGCAGGACTTCACTCTTAATCTGAACAAGAATATCCTACCTAGGATAGAGGCCCAAGGCTCAGAGTCCAGAGCCTAAACCACTAACTACTCAACACTGATTTATTTACTCACGATTACATCTCTTTCTACACTTATAATCGGGTAAGTACTAACAAGGGGCAAAACTGCACAATCAAAGCTTAAAGTTTAAAATTAGTGGAGTTTTTTGCGTTCTCACTAGAGCTATAGTATACTGCAACTGTTTTTAGTAATTAGTACTCTAGCAAAGTTCTATCAATATTTTATTTATTGAAATATTATCAATATTTGCCATTTTATCTAACCGTTCCACTCAGTAAGACATGCCAGTATGTTCAGTGTTAAGTGCTTATCCTAGAGTCTTACCTAACAAGCACAAAAGACAATTACAGAGAAAAGGTGAAAGAAATGTTTTTACAAAATGTTTTACAAAAAAGGTGAAACGCGGTCACAAACCGTTCCCAAGCATAAAAGTTGTGTGAATTGCGTCTTTGAAAAACAACAGGGGAAGGAACTCACCTTTCAGAATCTTGACATGGACGGGCAGGTCGCTCTTGGTGCTGTAAACATCCTCGGAGGGGGGCTTCCTTCTCATCATGCTGGGGTCACTGTGGACCAGCCAGTCCGCCACCTTGCTCTCAGCAGACATCACCTCAGTAGGGGTGGAAGCCAGATCCTTGCCAGGCAGCTTGCGCTGGCGGTAGGAGAACTTGGTGACATGGTCCTTGATCTTCATCTTGCCCGGTGTGCACTCGTCAAACTCAATGGTGAAGGAGGCGTGGCTCTGGACGACAGGTGGGGTGGTGGTGGTAGGCACTGCCAGAGTGTCCGTGTCCTTGGTGGGAATCTCGTGGACCTCAGTCTCTGGTGACTTGGTGTGCTGTTGGAACTCCTTGGTGGGGATCTCGAAATAGCTCGGCTCCCGCCGGTAAGAATAGATGGACTTACCCTGCGATTCTCTAAAGTCAGAGATGGTGCCATTTATTTCTGGGTCATGCCTTGTGCTGTCCTTGGGGCTCTCTGTTGGTAGAAACCAAAAAAGCCAATAAGGACAGCAATCAATTACAATACACATGTCAGAAAAAAAAAACAATTTTATAGCACACACATGAAAATAGAGAGCCTGCAATGCTTGAGCAGTCTAAGAACTGAAAGGCTTTTTCTAAGTGTAACATTCTAGTACACACCAATCAATCTTTTATTAATTACAAGACATGCCTGAGGACAGATTACCTGAACATGCTGCTACTTGTTACTATCACATCTAATGTGTTCTCACTTAGGAATTTATACCCAACAGTCTATTTAAATGAACAAGTACAGAACCTGTAAAGTAAAACAAGGTCTCACTGCTATAAATTTACATGCACTGTATAATGTATGATAACAAGTAGAGTATTTTAGACACATTACTGCAGCAAAATCACCTGCTTAAACAGACTGATTTTTTTACTTTCTTTCGCATACTGTACAATTCTACATGATTCAAAGATTCTAAACATACTGCCTTTCTGACATCTTCATACTTCAGTCACAATTTATACATTAAAATTAAATTTAAATTAAAATAATGAGCTAAAACTAATAAAAGTAAATTAACACTTAAGTAAACATTTTTTTTGATGAAGTTGTTCAAAAATGTTTTTATTAATAAAATCTCAATATCACCATCACCATTAATCACATAAATTTTAAAAATATTGTTCCAAAGAAATTGCTAGAATTGCTCAGACAATACAGCTCAGTATTCAATACCATAGTGCCCTCAAAGCTTGTCATCAAGCTCCAGGACCAGGGACTGAACACCTCCCTCTGTAATTGGATCCTGGACTTCTCGACGGAATGTCCACAGGTGGTGAGGATGGGCACCAACATATCCTCTACCCTGACTCTAAACACTGGACACAGTTTTAAGTTCCTGGGAGTTAACATCTCAGAGGACTTAACCTGGACCCACCACACCAACACCATGGTCAAAACAGCACGGCAGCTCCTATTCTTTCTCCGTAGGCTAAAGACGTTTGGCATGTGTCGCATATCCAGGCCAACTTCTACACGTGCGCTATTGAGAGCATCCTCACTGGTTGCATCACTGGCTGGTATGGGAACTGCTCCACCCGGGATCGCAAAGTACTGCAGAGGGTGGTGAAGTCAGTGCAGCTCATTACCGGCTGTAAACTACCAAGCATCCAGGATATCTACTCAGCCAGATGTCCAGGTCCATTCTCAAGGACCCCAGTCATCCCAGTCACAAACTGTTTTCTCTCCTACCATACAGTAAATGGTACCCAAGCATTCAAAGTCCATTACCTCCAGGCAATAAGACTGCTAAATAGCCAAACTGCAGTTTGTTCAGCAAATCACCTGTAATGGCTACACGGACATACAGTTTTCATAGTATTTGGCATACTGCACTATTTGGACATAATGTATTGCATACACACTGGACACATTGCAGCTCTATTTATATTGAGTTTTGTCTGAGTTTATTTTATTCAATTTCTATTGCACTTTTATCTATTATTATGTAACCTTATTTTGTAACTTTAATTTTGTGATTTTATCTCATTGCCAGCAACTATTTCTGCATGCTGTATTGTTGTGCATTTGATAAATAAACTTTGATTGATTGACAACATATTAGCCTTTACAAAGCTGTTTCACTGTAAAAAAAAACAGAAAAGAATGAACTTGGTTTTCAACAACTAAATAGAAACAGCTTCCTGCTAAACATTTGTAAATCACAGGTTTCCTATTATGACAAATTTGTGAAAAGGCACTCACTTTAGGCTCTTTGCAAATAGCAGGGCAGATACATTCCATGCACTTCACTATGATCTTCCCCATTAGTATTAACCTGCATTGTTCCCACTCTAGCTAATTTGCATTTTTCTCAATGCACTGGGCTGTTGCTATAAACATGTCTCCATTTTTCAGGGTACATTCAGGGCCATCCTTAAAAGTTTGATTTTTTTTTTACAAATGCTCAGCCTCAGACTCATGAACATTCATCTAAATACTGCAAGGAGTTTTCCCACCAGTGCTAAACCAACACTAAACAAACATATCTCTGTCTAAGCAGCTCCAATTTTTTCATAATTTGCTTTTCAAATGAAATGCTACATTGCCATGATAAATTGGTTTTCCTCTCATCTATCCATGATTCAGCTGAGCTCACTGATTTATAAGGGAAACCTACAAGCAGACTAGTTTTTATATAATTTGTCTGTTGATTTGGAAAAAAAGCCAGACAACAGAAGATTTTTTCATACGCATTCATATCAGACAGTTATGAAGACTACTGCAGGTCTAAATCAAAATTATACAACTTGCTTACAAATACTGCAGGGGCTTCAAATTTGAGAAGGCAATTTATATTACAAATACACCACTTAACACCAGGTTGTTACATTCTCTAAATGGGAAAATGGTCCAGTAAAAATAAATACCAAGAAAGATCCAAAAACCTTTTATAAAAAATAAAAGTATTTGGAAAGCTGTTAGAAAGAATAATGCTCCTTGAACTTGCTTATAGATATTAATCCTTCAGTAGAGATTTCTAGGCTTTACAGCTTAATGGCATGTCAAGGTGAAAGCATTCTTAGAGGTTACTTGAGCTATGAATTAGGGCCCAATAAATCTTCAGCCTGTCAAAACCATACTGACAAGAAATGATCTGAAAACGCAAGAATTCAGGGTCCCAGAGCATGTCCACTAGTAAGGACACTTGCCCACTGATCCTACACTCCAAGTATTATGGGTTCAAGCCTAGGTTATGTAACTAGCTGTCTGTGACTGGGCTTCTATAAACTGTGGTGCAACACTGGCTGAGATATCCCAAGGGGAGGTTTGTGATTAAGTCAAGTAAGGTCCTAGGATCTAGTCCTCTCCTCCAATCGAGGCTGAACCTGCATGGCACAGTGTAGCTTGTGACAACCAATGACTAGAAGGTGGGCAAGTTGTCTCATGGGAGATTGCAGAGTTCGTGGCCAAGAGCCAAGACATGATAAACACACAATTTGTGACTCTAAATTAAAAAAAATAGTAATAGGGTTAAAAAAATAGTAATTCTAGATTTAAAAAAAGGTCACAGAGGAGTCAAAGCCTATCCCAGCGAGCAACAGGCACAAGGCAGGATACAGCCTGGACAAACACCAGTCCATCGCTGGAAAGACACACAGACCCAAACTCACACAATGGCCAGTTTTCCCAGAAGCCAATTAACTCACGAGTATGTCTTCGGACTGTGGAAGGAAACTTTAGCACCTAGAGAAAACCCACCTGAACACAAGGAAAACATACAAACTCCAGGAAGAAAGCACCTCAGGTTTTCTGACCTCAGTACTGTGGGGAAGCACTACTAAACATTGCTCCACTGTGCCGCCCGGAATGAATAATGAATAATGAGAAATATGTAAATTCAATACAATAGGCCTTTCATTTAGACTAAAACTGAATATGACTTCAATATCTCTGACCTGAATGAGGCTCATCCACTCTTCGTCCCTCAGTGTGCTGCACCTTGTTCCCAGCATCATCCTCCCCCCACCATGAGGGCTGGCCATAGAGGGGAGTGGGACGAGACATCGGGGTCTCTGGACACAGAAGAAACAGAATATCATCACAACATGGCACCGGGTACAGTGCAGTTAGCTTACAAGGCACAACTTTTTCCATCAGCAATACACTGTACAAAAGGAGTTAACTTTCATAACCAAGGGGTATTAAAATGTGATGATCCCAGCCCAGAGGATTTATAATCTTCTGCTGTCTTTGTGAAATATGTGCTCACGTTTTACAATATGCAAGATTCATGTTTAAGGAAAAGGGGATTAAAAAAAAATATATGAAAAAATTACCCACATTTTCTCATCACACTGATAATAGATAAGCATATGCAAGGGCATTGCAAAATACAGTCATTGCAACCTGAAGATTTTCAGTTTATAAAATGACTTCATGTTTTGAATGTTGGATGAGTCAAGCTACCCAGTGGTTATGATCAACTGTTTAGATAATAACAATCAAAACGACCAGGGTTGGAAAAAGAAACACAAGTAAATGACATTTCCATCATGTACAATTATGAATTACATCAAAGAAAATAATAAAGACAAAAAAAACATATTATACTGTTTACATTAAACAACACTATATTGTAGGTTAAAAGGAAAAGGCAACCGTATGGAAAAACTGACTTGTGGCCCCTATCAAACACCTGGAAAAACTACGTATTATTTATTGCACTTTTATTCTGCGTAAAATAAGACTATTTTTAATAAAATCACAACAAAACCATAATTGTTAATAGAGTTTAGCTTGTGAAATCAGTCATATTTAAAAAATAATATCCAAGCATGTGTTCTTTGGTTTAAACATACGTGGATTGTGACATGGCTAAAGACCACCAAACTGCAGACATCCTCCTGAGAGGTGTGAAGGTTTTTGCCTTTTAAAATCACCAGCAAGTTTATTTTAATACTGTTATTGAAATATATGTAACTACTGCCATTGTATTGAGACAGTAGTCTCCCAACAAAAAAACAAGCTTCTGAAAATTAATCTTCTAAGAGTCCTTCTCAAGGAAGATGCTGAGACATTATGGAATTATCTTTTCTTCCACTGACTACATTCTTTGTGAAGTCATCTGCATCATATAATCAATAAAGTAAAACATGACAAAAAGCAATTTAACACTACAAATAGCACACATTGTATTATTACGTATTGAGCAGTCTTCATTTCATACCAAAATTGTGCATCTGCAGCAAGGACTGCTCAAATAAATGGGATATGTATTGCAATTGACTGTATATGTCGCTGGACAGCACCACATCTCTGTAAATTTGTTATGGGAAAATATGGATGCAAACATGCAGTTTTGCCCCTACCAACAGTCAGACAAATGAAAATCCTTTTGCTATTGGTTATACAGTTTACAGCACATTTAGCATTGTATCCTCTAATCTTCAAATGCATGGTGATGATGTCACATACTAGAATATACAATTTGTGAAATACTCTACTATTCAGGATTCTTTGAAAGCTACATTTATGTCTTCTTCCAGATACATCAGAGAAAAGGGCTGGCTTGAGGGTAAAAGGAACAAAATGTGTGCATCTGGTGAAATCTTATCCCAGGCAATCACTGGGAGGCCAGGACTGAAAGCAAGATACTGAGATATCGACTTCTAAAAAGCTCAAGACATATAGCCCAGACTATGCTGACTACAATAAACCAGGATGTCAGAAACGCCTCGCAGGGCGAGGCAGGTGTTGCCAAGGAAACATGACAGCACATGCAAACCTAAAAGAGAGTTACAGCACAAACAACACAGGCAAGATGGCACTGGTGCTTGGAAATTAAAAAAACAGAATCCAGAAACATAGCCGTCATACCAATGTGATAAAATAATTATGATCATTTCTAATGAAGAACAGCTTTGTACGTTTGTTTAAAATGAAGCATTTCTACATTTTAAAAGTTCTCTACATATAATATATGCAGTGCTTAAATCCAGTCTGAATGCGGGCCTCCTGAAAATTTCCATGTTAAAACTGGTTTAGCTTGAAAGAAAAATACCTTTTGAGTTAACAAGTCACTGATTCTTACTTGTGGTAGAACAAAACCACTACGAAAAACATAAGCTTGCAAATTATATGCCAGATAGATGTTGTAGTCTCTTATTACAGAGAAACTGCTGCTTGTGGATTTCTTAAAATAAAAGATGACTTAATGGACAAAACCTAACAAGAAAAATGCATGATGTGTCTTCTGGGGAATTTATTTTTAACAAAATGAAAGAAAAAACCTTCAACCCTTTTTAAAACCATAGAATTGCCTTTTAAGTAGACTGTTCTACAGGGCAGATTTTTCACAATATCAGGCCAGTAAGAAATGCCTGCATAAAAAACTCAACAAGTTAACATTGATTGCAGGCACAGAATTTTTATTGCAAAAAAATGTTCTATTCATACAACCTTATAAATGAAGAATTCCAAGATTCCTCAGGGAAAGAAAGTGTGAAGAAAACAAAAAAGGATCTATGGATATAGTTGTTGTGACAGTCTGTTGGTTCTGCTCAGATTATCTACTGTACTAACCAGCCAAGCAAAACATTTCCTACCAACATCTCAAATGTAATATGATGAGAAAGGAAAAAGATAAACATAAAAAGATCTGTAACCTCTCTTCCAAAGCACTGCAGTCAGCACAACATTGGTTACAACATCAGTACAACAACACTTGAATTTATACTTCATATACAACAATGACTCACTGAATTGTGAATAAAAGTCACAGCAGGATGGAAATCACAACTGTTTAATAAAATGTTATTCGAAATTACATTTACTATCTGAAACCAGCCAAATACTAAAGTACTAGCTTGATTCTCCCATTTTGTTTCACCACAGATTGCTTCCTCGACAAAGGAAATGAAATATTTTACCATCACAATAACAATGTCTCGCTCTCAAAAGGGTGTGGAGCTGCATCACTTACGCTGAGCTTCAGGTGAGGTAGAATTTATAGAATGTTATTCCAGGACACACAGCCACTGGAACAACTTTCCTGATCTACACTGCGCAATCTAAAATATATCCTTTCAAAATTAACACATCAGTTAATTGTGAAATAATGAGACTCTGGAAGAATAAAACAACAAGAATGGCTGCACGACCTTTCTGCTTGCAGCTACTGGGACTTGTTTTAAAGTGAGTCACTAATCCCAACTGGCAGGAGAAGGGAACAAAAAGCAAAGCAATCTCGGGCACACAGTTCACAAAAGGATTTACTGTGTGACTTTGCAGGTGGTTTATATCTTTGGTTTCCTCCCTGACGTCTTATTTCTTACTTGTTTCTTGACCCATTAAACATGTTCTTAAGAGGTTCCCAGTACAGTAGTTCTTCTGCTCAGACTGCCATTTGACATTCTTTCTGACTATTCCCATGAAAACTGTTTGTGAAATGTCTCCTTCAAGATGTATGGAAGCCAAGTAAGGCAAGCATAGCCATTACATGTGTGTAGATTTAGCTGTACTTCACAAATTATTCAATTTTTCACTTCAAAGTACAATATATGAAGGATGCTAGTGCAAATAGCTCTGTACCCACAAATTCTCCCAACCCCATTTAATAAATTAATTCAATAAATTAATAAAGTCTTAATAAAATTTGACTTTTGCTGGAGTTGTTAGTTCGTCATATGAACTAATGCAATAAGAATTAGAAATGTTAGGATATGTACAGTATGATGCAGAAATAACAGGAAATTGAGGAAAAAAGCATTTCTTTGACTTTATATCATGAATAGAATTAGACTGATTTATTAGTATGGGGCGCATAACATATTCCCAATACAACCTTTCTATATTTGATTCCATCATTCTGTAAAAAGTACAGCCTGCTTCACATGTCTCATGTCCCAAATACCAGGAACTACTAGTCATTCAGGAAAGCCACAAAATAGATAGCAACGTTTACAATCACTATCTAAATCACTTAACTAAAAGAGTAACTCAGCGTACATAAATAAACAAATGTAAACTGTCACGGTGTTGTTTATAAAGCAGTTATTTAAAAGCAATCTGCAGATCAATTACACAAATCATTGCCATTTGTACAAATGTGTTATCGCCACCACTAAAGAAGTGTGTGTACAAAATATTCTATTCTAGAATGAAAAGGTGACAATATTAACTATATTGGCCTTTATTGGGTGCCTGATAGGAACCATAAGATATGTTCATTTATTAACTTAAAATGTATTGGATGGCATCGACATTGAAGCCTGTCAAAAAACCTTTTTAAAAAATAGATATTATTATCAAAACTTATTAGATAATGTTAATAGACAACGTTAACAAAAATGTACATTGCCTAGTTCATTTTTGTTTTAAAAAAGACACACTTTCACATTTCGAAGACGAATGATCACATTCACACATCAGACTTCAGAAAACGCTCCTGCTGGCTTTTCACAGAAAATCGGCATTTACCATCGTTAGGAAAAGCATTCCAAAATAACATCTGCACACCGAATACAAAACTGCCATTTTCCTAAGATACATGCATGGTGCACATACCATTTATCCAAGATCTAAAAATACAGAAAACCAAAAAAAGCCTGGCTTGAGCCAGCAGGCAGGAAAACTGTTTTCCCCAATTTAGCCTCATTTTACAGTTTAAGCAAATCTATTGTTTATTAAAGTCTCAACAACATTGAGACTTTAATATTTTGATAGAATATCCTTTACCTACTTGAAAATATTGTCTTGATTACAATTAAGGAGTTGTTAGCTCACATTCAGTGTCCTTCAGCATGCGTACAGTTCTCTATAGAGAAATAATAAGTAACACACACAAAATTAGATGGGTTTGGTCAGACTAAATACAGTGCAGACTAGCAACAGGCCTAGAGCCAACAGTCTGCCTTCTGTACAGCAGCAGGATGTGACAGACGCTTTAAACTGCCAGCAAAGCAAGACTTGAGAGCTCTTCCCTTTAACTCACTTGGAACACCCAAGACCTTCACAGAGCCTTACAGAATATAGTTGTTATGCACTGAAACAAGTATCAAGTAACAATGAATTTCTTGTTAACTCTGCTCTGAAAGCAAAGACCAAAGACTAACTATCTGTACTTGTAATCTAAACTAAGTATTTCTTACTCATTTTATCAAGCATATTTACCAAACAATCAGATCACAGTTTTGCTTGTATTCACAACACAGTTAGTTCTCAAATATGCTCCATTGCAGGTGTAATTGCTTAACTGATATTTGATTGAATAACATCTGAAATTCAGGCCACTGAAACCCTCAGCTGAGAATTTTACATACAGTAAGTAACTCTTGGAAAGCTGAGTGAGCTGGTATGATCTTAAAGTGATCATTCTTAAAATTTCATAGAGCACTACCAGGACTGTGTCATTTTCTGTTCAAGAAGTCTAATCTCAATGTGACATACCTGTGTGTACACACCAAGGAACTTCTTTATTTGTATAAACTCCTTAACTGATGTCTTGATGATATGTTAATGTGAACTGCTCCCAGGTGTGACCTAGGTCAGTGATGGGAGGTTAAAGGGTTCACAGACTCCTTGAATGGCAATGCTTTCAGGTGAGAATTATATTTAGAGCAGGAAAATCTAAAATGAATTCAGATGCTTAATTAAAGTGTGCTTAAAAATGAAACTAGCAGATGTTAAAAAGAAAAACGTGCAACTTCTTATTATCTCAGACAGCTGTCAGCACATTCTATTATTATGACAGGATGTCGCCCAAGAAACAGACTTTAACATTTACATAGAAAGAGCTGCTCTCTGCACACCCATACTGTAACCCTTCATTTTTGTCAGTACTTCACCTTTTCTGCTTAACCCGCTACACTCTGCTTCAATGTTTGTAGCAGTCCTGCCAGTCCTAGGGGTTTCCTCTGGTCTTCTTCTTTGTGCTGTGTTGGATTCCCTATACTCAAGTGCAAGTGCAAATTGATTTCCACTGTGTTTGTGGGTATCTGCCCTTCACACTAAGGCCACAGTAACCATATGTCGGGAAGCTTCGTTCTTCTAAGCCTGACTACCAGTGCTGAAGTTCCAACTCCATTTTAGAACACAGAACATTCTCTCGCATTAGTTACACTTCAGAATTTTATTTTTTGCATTGTTTTGAAACAATTTTGGGCCAAGTTAAAAAAAAACAGTGACCTGGTCCTTTTCCCCCCAAAAAAGAAGGTCTAACTACACAAACACATCAGAAGTCAGGATCAAAGGTATCTGCCAAAGGTCTCTCTTCTATAAAGTGTGCACATTGCAGTTGATGTGGTCTTCTCTAAAAAAATAATTTTCATAGTATTTAAAAAAAAATCATTTTCAAAGATCACCTGTCTGTGTAAACTTATTTTTAGTTATATTTCCCTGTTAACAACAATCTGCAGGGAAAAAGCAAATTTACAATGTGTCATTGTTATGTGAAGTACATCACAACTTAACTTTTTATTTAAAGTTGTATATTATGTGAGAACTTTGTACACCCTGGCGCTGTATATGTCTAAAAGGAAGAAAGCACAGCTTTCACATTACATTAACTCATAAAGAGATTACAGTTTTACATTTATTATAACTTGGGTGAATTCTACTCCAAATTCAGATACAGTATCTTTCTAAAAACATAGGTAAAAGTTTAATTTTTTATAAACAAATAAAAAATATTTTTTATCTTAAAAGGAAATAAAGATTTGCTGTTAAAATTGTTTTTTTCAGCAAAAACAAATGAAAAACGTTTAGACCCAAATCTACAGCTGACTACTCTCAAACAAATTCAAAACCAACCTACATGTTTTTTATAATACAGGTCCTTTCTTGGTCTTAGACTAACGGTGATGCCTTTAAAAAGCCTACAGCAGTTCTGCATTATTGCACATCTATGCTCAGAAACCCAGGAATATATCTATTTCAGATGCTTCAGCATGGTGGAAGATCTTTCAAACTTCTCAGCCATGGCAATATCACAAGTTTGATGAATACCGTCTTTTGCTATAATCAAACATTATCAAGGTCAAGCTTCCCATATAATTTTCATCTATAATTACCTACCCTATGTCAACTTCACTAACAGAAGACGGGATCAGTCATTTTGCTCATAGATATATTTAGTGTCATTTTGTAAATTGGCTTTTTTCTAGATCACTTTCTGCCTTAAAGTGGTATATAAATATATATTGGAGCTTAAAAAACTAATGTTTTTGGTATCTATACACATTTGTTGTGTTTTAATTCCGCTTATTACTTGTCATATATTCTAAGATTGAATTTAAAATTTAAATGCACCTTAAAAAATGTTAGAACTGAAATGCATTTATAGTAAATAAAATAAAATTGCAGCTCTGTAATGTAAGAAGCTCAATAAAACTTAGCTTTCAGAAACAAGAAACAACAAACAATGCTAAAAGATGTTGTTCCAAGATAAGAACAGAGTGGTAATCATTTTCCTAATACTGGCTCCCCAAAAACACATAAGGGCTTGATATCCAAGATAAATTACTGAAAAAAATGCTGAAAAAAAGAAGAAAGAAAACACAACGTTTCGGCCATGGAGCCTTCTTCAGGTGTGTGAAGAAGGGTCCAGTGTGTAATTACTGACGAGGCAAGTATCAATTACACGAACAGGTCAATTAGCTGGCAGCCATTCAAAACTTGAAGTAAACCCGGTATATCTCAACAGCGCAAAGGAGTTGGTAGCCAATTTTGGCAGCAGTAGTAAGGTGTTTCACAACTGATCTTGTATATGAAGTTACCTGACGGGCATTTGCGTTCTCCTTTCTCCAGTTTACACCGGGAGGAATCTAAACCTCCTGCCTTCTCGTCAGAGTGCTCAGTCTTCGTGCCCTCAGGCCCCTTCACGCTCATCTGAAGCTGGCTCGTGTACTTCTCATGCTGAAACGAGAGTGGTGAAGACCAAGAGTCAGTGCATCTGAGTGCTGAGAAAGGACACATGATAGTCTCCTTTTGCCAGTTCTTATCCAAATCCATAGTAAACTCTGCATTCTTGCTCAGCACAGGCAATGAACTATTCATTGCACAAATAATAAACACTTTACCACACAGTACCATTAAAGACATCTACACAGATGTCTAGGATTCCAAATTTAAAAAATGGACACATTTTATACTGACAATGTTCTGTGCTTCACCAAGATTTACAGCTCCAGAAGCTCAAAGCAGTGAAAAATGTTTGAAATTCAAAAGTGAGGGAGGGAGTTACATAATGCTTAATCAGGCAAGAGCACTTTCACTGTTTTAGAAAATGTATTTTTTAATTAACTTTTAATGATTTCTGAAAAAAGAATAAACAGGTTTCAGTTAATAGGTTATTTGGTCCGTGCATTACCAAAAACATTCTTGTGTCCTAAAGTAGGTACTATGAAACGAAGCATTGTAACAGAGTGTGTTCAACTCAAAATCTGCTCTGAAAACAATATCCATGAGAATGGTGACTCAGTAATACAAAACCAAATCTTCCCCCATCAAATGACAGCTTGCAAACACTGGGGAAGTCGAGACAGACATTCTAAACAGTCTGGCAACTTTCTTTATTTTGAGAGTCCATTATTTGTTTCTGCTGCTACCAGCTCCACATGTTAGATCCAACCAGAGACTTATCTTAATCTGTGGCAAACCAAATCAAGTGAATGGGAGTGGGAGGGGTAAAAAGTCTGTTTTTTTTTTTATTTGCTCTTTAGGTTATAATCTGGTTTGGCCCTTGAAAGCTGTCAGCTGTTGTTTCGAGAGCAGAAATCACAGCAGCCAGGAAATCCCCACTAAGGGCTAGACTGGTATAGACTGGCATAGAAAATAAATGCATACGCACAATATTGCAACAGAACGCCTACCTTGAGGGCCTCTTCAGGAACCCTGTGCTGACTCCTTTCCAATACATAGACATGGGGATGTAATAGCTATGTTAAGAAAACTATAAATGTGAACGTAAAGAGTCATAACCACAAAGAAGACATGATTAATAAAGCATGGAGGAAAATGCATCATTGTACAGTTACTTTGAAAAGAAATATGATGATCGAAAACACATGTAAGAAGCTAACACTAAAAGGACATCAGCTTTTCTAAATCTTACAATGTAGCCTCACGTTGTTTTTTCTTCCTCATCCTGAAACAAAATGACATAATCTGCATGCTTTTATTTTTCAAAAGCTTGCATTGCAGGCTCTATTGTTACCAAAAGCTAAAACCTACTAAAGGTAAATAGGCAGAATTATAATTATCCTGAAGAAGAAGCAAAATTCAATTTCTTAATAACATTCAGAAGCTCTCTTAGTGGCACACCAAGGGTTGCTTATGATCATATGCCGCATATACGTAAATAACCGATCCAAAAAATGATTCATAGCTGTGGTCTGTATATGTTTTTTAAAGCCAATTACACCAGCAGAATGTAATGAGGGGGAAAGCAACTTTAGGTTTCTTGATTTCAAACAATGAATTCAACTAATCCTGCTGTGCAAATGAATAGAAACATCTTTTCCTCACATTTATTTAAACTGTATTTTTAAGCTTTGGGCTTCATACTGTACATGCAAAAGCTTTTAGATTCAGCGGCCAACATAATCTAAAGCCCTCTGGCTAAACCATAGAGGATTAACATTTTGTCAGAGATTTGGTCTCGGTCATAGTCTGTCTCTTTCCAACATTTTTCGTTTTGAAGGACAAAATGTGTGTTTGCTTTTTGGTTCAGTGTGAATGTAAAATAATGCGGATTACATAAACAAAGAAAGATTGTGGTTCATCAAATGTCATTTTCTAAAACTAACTCTATAGTATCAATGGGAAACAACTCTAGCAGTAAAACAAAATATCCAAATGAGCCTGTGAACCAGTAATATACTACAGAAATCTTTCTGAGCCAAAACAAGCAACAAACAAAAACCAACTATTAAAATATATGTTGCAAAGGATATCGTATCCAAATCGTATGACATCGCCAAGCTTGAGCGTTATGTAGGTCTGGTCAGGAATTCTTAAATCATTAACGAACGTCTGGGGGGGGACAAAAAAACAGTTTATACACATATAGGATCACCATTTAGGCATGGACTGTCCCATGGAACAACATTTTCAATATGTTAATTGCAGTAAATAGGAAACAGAACAACAAGCCTACTGATTATTAACCTTGATACTTGACACATCTTGTTACTGTAAAATTAAACCAAAAATTGTTTTTACTTTTCTGTAACCCTTGTAAGTTGCTGCGAAGAACGATGCCAGTCGAATCATTAACAAAAGCACCACCATTCAGGCAATGTTCTTATCTTAATCCTCACACCAGTATAAGGTTTATCTACAGTGCTTTGCTGCTTTTCTCCTCTTAGCATAAATTATAGTCTGCCAGTGACATCTGAAAAGTATTTGCATGGTGGATTACATCATTAGGGGATCATTATGTAATCCAGTGGCAGTACAATGTGGCCACTTGAGCACTTGAGTGAGACTGCTGGTAAAGACAGTGAAGCACAGGACTGGCTGGTGTCTGCAATATTGTTATAGAAACCTCTCTACTACCCACACACAGTTTTGGTGTCCCATTCACTGCTTGGGTTGCACTCAGATTTAACGATGGTTTGCAGCCTTCCCACATCTACAACAAACTGAAATGTCTAAATTGATGCACCACAGAGAAGACAACACATTATAGCCAAAAAGGTCAGGGGCAGAATTTACATGAGGTCGTTCTGTCTGGACACGCTAGCTGCGTTTTAAGGTGTTGTAATAGTAGTCTTGTTTTCCATTTTCGTTGTTGAATTCAACAAAAAAAATCTATCAATCCATAATGTTCTCCACAAGTCTTGAGTGAATGAGCGAGATATGCACTTTGAAGACAAACTAATGTAATTTCTGGAAGAACCATTCATAAACACTCTTTTTTTCGCCTGTCCCTGTACAGTGTAATTGCAAGTTTCCCTGCTGTGAAGAAATATAAACAGCTGACAGCTGACTGGAGTGGTACTGTATAAATACAAAACAAACCCCAGAATGAAAAGTACAAACAGCACAAAATTATCTCCATTTCTTCTCCTCTGGTGAGCCTGGTTATTATAAAGAAGAAATGCTTTGTGTACTCAGCATCTCTCCCTGCTTACCCCATTGAGACTCCCCAGGTCCTTCACAAGATGTTCATCTGTGGCCAAGTCGTAGTTGATGACAGCGTGCTGCTTATCAACACTGCGGGACTGAAAAGACAAGAGCATTCTAATGACCCTTCTGCTTCACCTCCCCTCATTAGAAACTGAGCAGCAACCTGCAGGGCATCCCTTCCCCAGTGCAGGCAACATTCACCAAAATATCAAAGACAACAATAACGATGACCAATTTAATAATTAATAAAAAATTAGAACAGCTATCAAACAGAGAACCAATATAACAAAGTGAGGCGATAATGACTTCAAAGGATTTAGGTCCATTTTATTTAGATGATCCGTCACATTAATTAAATAAACCATTTCCTGAAATTGCAAGAGAAAATACTGCCTGTTCAGAAAAGGTGAATACTGTACACTGTGTGCAACTGTACCAGAAATTAGTGCACACTCTACTCAGTATATCACAGTTTAGCTTATGATACACTGATTTTTCACAACAGATGTTTATCAAATTTGCACCCATCTCTTTAGGCCAGATACAACAAAGAAAAAAATATGACCAGTTATTTTTTCCAGTGAAAAGAAAAAATACCACAGAAAAAGAAAAAAAATATAAACCCACTAATGTCAGTCTATCCATTAAAAAACTAAAAATATGATCAGCTAAACCTTTTCTTCTTTGCTTTCAAGATCACCATTTAAGTGGAGGGATATTTAATATTTTATTGATCATTTGATTTAGACTGCCTGCTTACAGACCTGAAGCCTGTATAAAATCGACAAACCCTGGAGTATTACTGTGTCCTGAAAGAGAAGTGGATCAAGTGCACTTTTACATCTCACACAGGTACTGAAACAGCTCAGATTAACTTGTTTTAAATCCAAGAACGCATTTGGATTTTATTGTCCCTATTTTCTTCTTCCTGTGTCAGTGCTTACACTTCTTAAACAAAGACAGTGTCGCTTAGACCTTGCCCTAAACCCTGATACCCTAAAAAATTTTGCTTTTGCTGCCCACTTCCCCCACCCATCACAATTTACCAAAACCCCAACCCCCACATACAACAGGTGATGCCTTTCCCAAATCAATAACATGAGAGCAAATGTATAGCTTTGTAAACACCTGCTCTTAAGCATAACTGACAATTCTCTCAAGAGTGACTGCTTCAAGAAGGAACAAAAGAAAATCAGTACAAGAAACGTTTTAATATATATTCGATAAGCATAGCAAGAGATATCTGAAATTTAAATAAGGAATCACTTGCGTATTGTTTTTCCCCGATGCAGAAGACAGTGAAATCGGCCCAGTATATTAACATGGAATTCCTTCACACGATGAGGCCAAATATCATATGGGCAAATGCAATACACTTTAGATGGGTAGAAAATAACTGAATTTAATTACTACCATTACTACCAACCATTTTTGCTTACTTGTCATTTCCCTAAATTGAAAGCTACCACCTGGCAGTAGAGCCAAAAAGACTGGCACAGAACTTACTGGCAAGCTTGAATTTTTGCTCAAACAATACAAATAATATTTTAGGTAAGGAGCTATGAATTTACAAATATGTAATATAAAATGTAAATTTAGATTACTTTTTGCACACAGATATGCACATTCTTTTAGTTTAAAGCAATGGCTTTTAGAAAAAAGCAAACGATATAAAGATGTATTATTCATTTGTTTACTTTTAACTATTACTATTAACTGGGGGTGTTATCCCAATGTCCTGGCCAAATTTCCTTCTGGGCTTTACCAATCATGGGCTCTTAATAATCCCCATCAATGAATTGGCTTCATCACTCTGTTCTCCTCCCTACTGATAGCTGATGTGTGGTGAGTGTACTGGAGCACTTTGGCTGCCATCGTATCATCCAGGTGAGGGCAACACATTGGTGGTGATGGAGGGAAGTCCTAATTACCCATACAGCACTTTGAGAGGAGTGTCCAAAAGAATGTAAGGAATGATTATAAATACTAACAATAATTAATGTAATTTAATATTTCTCTTCTGGAGATCTTTGACTTAAAGAGCATAAAACAATGATGAGCAGTGAGATATAATTTATACAATGTGATAAATAACACTGTATACGAAGCACTATTACCAATTTAATGCACAATTAAAAAAATGGCATACTCCCGAATGATAAATTCCATGCCATTTCCAACAGGAAGTCACTGAAAGCTCTGGCCTGACTATCATAGTGAATCAAAGGCAAATTAATCTGTAGCACTGTGCCCATAACTTGTTTGCTGACCACAAGGAGAGAGGAAAATTAAAATAAACTACGGCTGAAATAAAGTATGCAAACACGTTGAGATTTTCTGATTAATTAAACTCATTTTATGATGAAAAGAGCCAGAGAAAGACTTGTGTAATAAAGCTTTAGAAAGATTATAGGATGAACAGAAAAGAATCTTTAAAAGGAGAGAATGTGTACACTAGCACTTCGTTAGAGCATTAACAGGAAGGATGCTTAAATGTCTTATGTAACAGTAAAATGACTGGAAACTAAGTACGATTCAGCATAAAGTACCAAGTTTATTACCAACGTTTACTGCTGAAGTCTGTTAAAAAGACACTGCAAGATACCTATACTTTAGTAATAGAGGAAGTAGACATAAGGTATCTCCCTCAGAAAGAAAATAGGTACCAAATGCCTGTGATACTGCCTATTCACCTATTCCATTTTAATTGTTATAATAATTCTATTAATTCTAATGCTATTAGAATTTTTCAATCTAAAACTAAATTTATATTAAATATCATAATTTGTGCTCTCAACTGCCTGCCTGTAAGTCGACTTCGTATGAATTTTAATGTTATATATTGTAGCATTTAATTTAATCCATCTAAAGGATCATATTCTTAGGACACTTAATACAGTATGTATTAAATACTTTTCAAATAGAGCGACACAAAGCCATGAATACAGGTTACTCCAGCAGTTCATAGCATATATCACCATATTTATTGCATTTCTCACTTGCTAAAATACTGTATAGTTTGTATTTTAGCAAGTTGTATAGTTTTTCAGTCTATAATATATTCTGCTATTACTTCTGTATCCAGAATATGTTGTTCTAGAGCCACTCTAAACACTATTGAAATAAAACATACATTATAAATGTTTCACTAGGAAAGCTGTGCTATAGCCGTGCTATAGCTGCAGCCCTCAGGGATTCAGCCTGCAGCTTTATGAATGCTGAAAAAAATTACCATGGTGCTATCATAGCAATTGTCAACCAATGAAAATCAATTCTTCTTCATACTGTGTGGTGGCTCTCAATGCAAAGATAGGGAAAAATGCCAGTCCACTATGGTAACACCTCTTTCAAACACTTTCAAACTCCAGGATATTCTCATAAAAACCAAGGTGAAACAGTAGATGTGACAAGGCTCCTTCTGCATTTTACATGACACAATGAGCAGTCAGCTGCAGTCAGTGCTTGACGAGTATTTTTCTGCAGAGTAAGTACTGTATATCAATAAATCCTGTAGCCTGACAATTCATTATTTAAGAATGATGTAATGTGTTATGCATGTTCTACTGGATGGTCTCTTGTGTTGTGGCTGTACCAAAGCTTTCAAATTCTAGTGATTCTAGTATTGTCTCCAGAGAAGCAAAATACTTATTTGTACTACAAAACATTCCCTTTACTAAATAATGTTAAGTTTCCTCATTCACAAAGCCAGTTTTAGTATAATTTGGCAAAATATTACTATTAGTAGTCAAAATTGAATCCTCCTTCAATATTAAGATAATCACAACTTCCATACAAAACTCTGTATATTGACAATTCAATTCTTAATTAGTAGCACTTTGTAGGCAGCACCTACTGAAAAATAATAGAAATATCTTTCCCTGCAATTGGTACTAATTAATTTGTGAACTTAAAAATACATTTTCTTATCATGATTATACCTTTCCTCCTTATTTAATTATGATCAAAACAGCATAATGTCTAAAAGATGTGTGATGTGAAAACCTACATATGAAGTCTCCTTAAATCTCATCGCCTTCATGTGAATGTCTCATACATATTACTATGCATCTGCAGCAAACAGAATTGCTTCTCAACAGCTGTGATGCAAATAATGATATCCAGTGTGATATTTCATTTTTTCACTGGGCAGTGCTTTCCTCTGGGTGGAACCACTCTTTATACCGCAGTAGACTAGACTAAACAGGTTTATGGCACAAAGCTTTAATCTACTGGTCTACTCATTACAGAATACATATCTCATATCTAAGTAAAACCTAAGTTTATAGATGCTGTTGTCCTTGTCCAGACTGGCTCAACCACTGCTACATACCTATGTTCCCAATACCACTAATCTACTGTATACTAGGCCAAAACACTTGGTAACTATGAGCAAAATTCACAGCTAAGTTAGTCACCCAGGCTTCCCTCATCTTTCTGCCACACACCTGACCTGTAATTTGCCAGGACCCTGCTGGCTTGCAGTGATGTTAGTGAGAGACACTCCCCAATCAGATATGAACTCTCCTATCAGGAACACTGGAGCTCACAGAATGTTAAATGAGGAACAGTTCTGTAGGTAGGCAGTTCAGAGGAGCAGATTTACATGTATCCAACCTGAACAGGAGTGGCAGCTGTAATGCTATAAATATACAGTATTGTACTGTCAATTCCAAAATGAATGGATATAAAAGTAACTTAAAAATGAGCAATTCCAAATGTACATTAAAAAGGACAAATTAACGCGCGAGTTATTTTGCACACAAGTAGGCCAACGAATGCTGAAGCCAAAAGGTAAACAGTCTGCCACCAATACTGTCACATAGAAGACACATCAAATACTATGAATGTAGCCACAGTTCTGCAGATTCTGACTCAGGGCAGCAGTTCCAGGCCTGGTAGATTTGTTGCTCAGATTTCAGTTGTATTTTCATTTCTGGAGGTTGAGAACAGCCTTGGTTTCATGTATCTCCTTGACAAAATGTTATCTTGTCCTGTATCCTTCAAGTTCTGGTAAAACTGGCCAACAGAGGCTCCTGACAGACTTTAGCGAATTATAAAACTAGCAATCGCAATACCCCTAAACCTCAGATAAAAACAAAAATCTGTTTGCAGAAACCTGGAAAGTAAGTACCAAGAGTGTCATAATCTTTTATGTTTTCAAAGTGTCTCATCTTCTGACACCAACCTGTTAGCACCGCATAATTAATAATTAGGGTAAATGCTGTCTATATATTAAAATACTTTAAAAATAATTGAATGCACATCTTTTTTAAGTAAACACATATGTAAAACATTACTATTGTGCATAAGTATTAAATGAAAGGTATTACGGCCAAGTCATCAGAACAAATTTGAAAAGGGCAACCTGGTGATGTAATTCATGACAAAAAAAACAGGACAGTACATAAGGGACATCACATTTTGAATGTATGCTGACCATCTATTGGACTTGTATGGTGAAAAAAATAGATTTTACATTATGAGGGGTAAATAAACGCTGTTAGAAATACCTCCCACGCACTTAATACAGCAATTTCTTCAGTCTCCTGGCTGATTCTAGTAAATACCGTAGTGTAATTGTGTAGATTCTAAACTGTAATACATGACAAAAATGTCTCTTTATCAGACACGAACTTCACAGAACAAAAAAAAACTTGGAAAATGGGAATTTCTCATTAGCATGCAGCACATTAAACAAACAACAACAATTAAAACCCGACAGTGTTGGCACTGCCTCCAGTCATTAACCACTTAAACCTCCTCATCTGCAACTTCAAAGCAGGGAATAAGAGGAGGACATCAGAGAACCAATTCATCCGAAAGGCTTCTTAATTAATCCCCTTTATTTCAGAGATCTGAGGTTTTCTAGGTCTATTTCACAGAAAGAGACTGACACTCTTTTTGCCCTGGTGTCAGAACCCAAGTACAAGACATCATACATGAAATTCCCAACATCGATCAAAGATTAAGAACATTGAATTAATAGTTACAGCTAAAAATGAACACACTTTAAATGTAAAACAGCCTAAGTTTTAGAAATGTAATTTTTAACACCAAATCCTAGGTGTTGAAAACTGGTGGTTGGATAACTGGCATTTCCAGTCCCATTAAAAAAACACAATGGTGAAAGACTGAAATCATGCCCCAAAGTTATGATTATCATGGGGAAGATATCTTCATCCATTTGTTGGAATATGTTCAATTATGACTTGCAATTGTTGAATGGGTTTAAAGAATTAAAACCACTGGCTAGAATCTAAAAGCTACCCTGCTAAGAAAAAGCATATCAGCTGTCTTAGTAACAATGCAAAGGCCACACCTGTGGGTGATAAGTCCGTATACATGTGCAGTTCAGTTCTCCTGCACTGCACAATGCCATAAAATCAACTATAATAGTGAGCACTTTATGAAAGAAAAAAGGTGGTTGACGTGGCTTCTAATGGTATGACACCAAAGGCTCCTTTCACACATTGCTTCTGTATGCAAAAGCCAGGAATAAAGCTCAAGTCTCTTAAGAGGCCATGATATCTATTATAAGAAAAGGGTGGGTCTGAGGTTAGTCTACAAAAATGGCCCAAACAGGACAGAACAAAAGCTTTAGAATTAAACATACCACAGAATAGAGGTTAGTCAAATTCTTTGCAAACCACAAACTGTGAAGAAATTATAAACAACTTTACAAATGCTTTTAAACCAGTACAAAAAGGTAAGCCTTCTCACATCTCAAAATAGAAAAACAAACTACATTACCCAACTAGAAAGCTTAATTAAACTGCAGTTACGCAGAGAACAACATGTTCTTAATTTAAGGTTATAAAAATATGAACAAGAAAAGATTATTTTTGGTGGAGAAACAGACCTTTATATTAAGCCTTTCAGAACTACTCTGATTTTTTTCCTATATAAATATATTCCATGGTTGCTAATGGCAACCAGCAGTCTTCTCCTGTGTATCTTGAATATTAAGATTGTCCTGTCTGTATGAATCTCTGTGCCACAGCAAACATATATACATTTAACAATTAAACTCCACAAATTTAGTTCTAGTTATTGTGCAATAACAAAGGATATTTCCTTGACAGACAGAAATACAGCCCACACTACCCTCAGATATGTACTGATACCTCTGTGATCAAAGGGACCAAATTCAAATTTTCATTGGTTTACCAAGTCCCCAAGTCATAAATTAAGCTCAACAATTTGACAGCTGATTATGTAATAGCTGCATCTCTTAAATGTAGCAATGTTAACGAAATAATCTTCCATTAACAGCTCTTTCTACTTTCTATCAAGACCTCTCATAGGAAAGTCTACTAAATATCTCTTCAGACTGAAGCATCTCTTCAAACCTAATTCACACCATAAAGTTAAAGAAGACTTGCTTGTGTCATACCTTCTAGACACCAAGGGCGAAATGGTCCTTTATCGCACTATTAACATATAACAATACATATAATCAAAAACAGCTAAGAAAAAATAATTAAGTACATATTATATACAGTTCCAGCTCCAGAAACCTTCTCTTTTCTGGTCGTTCATTGTTACTCTCACTGTACTGCAGATACAGGGAAGACAATAGTGTGTTCTTTGTCCATTTGATTTTATGTCTCTTAATGAAGTCTTGCCAGAAGCCATTCTCCCACTAGCACTGCACTCTCCGGCAGTTCCTTTTCCAGTAGAATTGTGAATAAATTTGACATCCATCTTCTTTTCGTGGTTCACATGGAAATCGCATGTAATTTCAATACATTAGTGTCAGTCTTTTAAAGCCAACAGTACACTTATGTACACTCAATCATATATAAAAGTTATTTTCTTAAACGCTGCCATTAACACCATTTGTACTGTAAACAGTTTAATTGCACTGTTTGAAGAACAATGATTTTGGAAACATACAGGGATAAAACTAATAATAGGGCTTCAAATGGAACACAAAAAGAATTGTCTTTACCTACAAAGCCCCACCCTTCGACCTCTACAAATCTAAAATCTGTTCCAGCCATGATCACTGTGTTGCCACTAGTATTTCCCATCAGTCCTACCGATCCTGTAGCTGTTGGCTTTTATTTGAAGTGTAATTCCCAAAAAGGGAAAAAAAAAAAAACATTTTTACTGTCACTGCTCCCTGGAGTTCAGGTTCCCCGGAGGCTGCAGTTTTGGTTTGAGACAAACACCTGTCTCCTGTACAGCGGCTGTGTGCTCGGCAGGGTCACATTGGTGTGGAGAGAAGCCCACGAGACACTGACCTGCAGCATGAGCTCACAGTCTTCGCGGCCCACGAAGATCATCTCTCGTGGGAGGCGGTGGCGGATGCCCAAGCTGCTCACCAGGAACCATGACGTCACACTCATCTTCAGGGGCCTCGTTTAAAACCCTCTTAGCATCCTGCACGAACACAAAGCAAAAGAACAGTGACCCAAACTGCACAGACGGGCTCAAAAATAATTCAGCAGCTCAAGTAATAATGAAATGGGTGGCCGGCACTCATGTTGGAGCCACCAACATAGAATGGTGTCTTCTGTAACCCTACTATAATGACCCTTCCTCCACACCTACTTATATTTACATATAGCAACAGAACAGGAAATTAATAGGAATTCATTACATGCTACATTTTTGCCTTAAAATGGACAAAGCTGAAAAACATTTCCTATAGGAATTTCTGCTATACAGGTATTCTTATTAAAAAAAGCCAGGTATGTGTAGTCACTCTTAAAACGTTTTCCTGAGTAATGTTTCCATGAAAAAAACAGTAGTACATCAAAAAGAGAAATAAGAGCTTGATGGATTTTAGATAATATTTAACTGTATAAGGTTCAAGTAGAGAAAGGTGATTTGGCACAAAAATAAGTGTCATGTTATTTTCTCATAGTCTCTGGTTGATATGATGTTAGTGGAAAACCTGTCATCAAAACATTAACTGTTGGGAGAGAAAAGCTTTTTTGCTGTCCTACATCTGCATTATGTTAAACAGATGATGTGTTATGTACAATAATAAGGAAACTAAATGCCATCTAAGCCCTAGGGTCCCACCTATGCACAGAAACTACTGAATAAATCATTTGTGGTAGGCTAAAAAGACAAATGAAAACCATTTTAGAACACTATCAAAGTTGAGCCATCGTGACACAGCTATTTCAGCATTTAAATTATTTTGCATAAAACCTATTTTTGTAAGCTGATAATGGATTTGGCACATTACCCTTTCCATACAGCATAGCCATTGATGAAATGTAGCAAGCTAGTGGCTATCAAGTTCCATGCTAGGCTAGATTGGAACATCAACATGTAGCTGTTTCTACAAGACATGTTTAAATGTAAAAAATAATTTTACAATTTCATGTTCACTTGAAACATGTTAACCTAAGAAAGGAGGCTGGACAAGTGTATTTTCAGTGGAGGGTGCTATGGTGACTACCTCTTTGCTTTATGTGCATTTCCTAAATGTTTGGTATAGACCGAGTACTGTATCTGCTGCTTAGCTACCATTAATGTACTAAAGCTCATATTCTGGGATGGATGGGTTTGAATAAAGTTCTATAAATGAAGAAGATGAAGAACGTGAAATACTCAGAGCACAATTACCAACATCAAAGAAAAGTACACAGCTACAGTATGCACTGCCGATCTGCTGTTTCTGGCTTAATATCAGAATGGTCCAAAAATGGCCACAAAGTACTAAAATTATGTAGCTTGATAAAAGCTCTAGCACATAAGTAGCATTTTAATAAACCTGAACTGTGTTGTCACGTGCAGTCAAAATCAAAGCTGTCTCCTAGGAACGCAAGAGCCTGCCAGCTCCACCAGCTCCACAGATAAAGAAGAAATTTGCCCTGACCCGCTGTGCTAAATAAAATTCCAGTGTGCGTTCTTACAATCAGTCTGGTCCCTCAGCACAGCAAGCATACTCCACGTTCTTGTTCGACACAACTGAGAGGAAAATAAATAAAAGAATCCACGTTCCAAAAAAGCAGGGGTTTCATTCAATTGTTTTTCTGAATGGTACCACATGGAGCTGCTGGCACTGCTGAAAATATTTTGAGAAACTAGCTATTAAGACACCAATAGTTAATGTCTTATTGCACTGAATTCATTTAAAAAACTTAGTCTCCAAATGACTTGATAATTTCAGATATCTCAAATGCGTGGTGGTTGTGTACATTTTTGAATGTGCAGTGCCTGTTTTGAAGACATCTGTCCATATTTAAACAAACCTTCAAAACTTAAAAAAAGGATCTGTCAAAAATCAAAATACTGACTGAGATAATTCACTGCTGAAGATTATTGCCTTCTAAATGATGAAAACAAGCAGCACTCAAGCCTGGGTCATGTTTAGTAGCCAATTGCAAGCAAGTGCACAATTGTCTCAGCTAGGGATGGGATTAGTCTACCAGGGCTCTCCTGTCTCCTGTCTCACCGAAGCAGCAAGACCTAGGACTTCTGCACTATCTACAGGCTCACTGTATCTGAGGCCACTGAGAGATACACCTCTCCTGCTTAACCTCCTGTATATCACAGCAGTGAATGCAGTGTGTCCAAGGACAAATGGCTGATAGATGGGCAGGTCAGAGGTGCATACTGTATACCTCAACATTCTCCCTCCCAATGTGAGTCATGCCACTGGTGATTCTAAAATAAACAGTATAAGTTAAAAAAAATAGACTAAATTTACTTAACTAAACAGCTTGATTAAAATGTGTAGTTGTGAAGCAGGCAATTTTAACAGAAGCAACCGACAGAGAGAAGAGGGATAAAATGTTCATTAGCAACTCCTGCAGTAATGACACTCACAAGTGGTCTCAACGCTGCAGCTCAGAGAGGTTCAATGACTCACACAGGGAGAGATGCACAGAACACTTATACTGGGAATTTCTTAATAAAGTCTTTTTTTAAACCAAGGACCAAGGACCATGCAGCCTTCAATAAATCACCTATTGTAAAACAAGAAACACCTCTAATCCAGTCAATTTCACATTCACACTTGCAAGCTTAACTAACATGCATACATAAACCCACAATATTAACTCCTGTGGTCTTTTTAAATGGCACAATGCTGTAATTTTCTTTTTCCGTGTTGTTCCATTTCCTGCACCTTCCACCCAGCAGCTTCTCCAATTTACAGATGAGAAAGACACCACTACCTCATTGGGTTATATCCTTAATCTATGGAAACTAAAGGACTGACTTTGCTCTACTGAAGTATGAAGTATGAAAAAGAGTAAGGAGTCTCCTGAAAATGTAGCAATCTTGCAGTTAAAACATATTTGGTAGAAAATGTGTATCCAGAACAATAATAATGAAATGGCAAATGGTGGATCACACTGGATCCCAAGACAAAAAACATACTTCTTGGGTGTTTGTTTTACCCATGAAGATGAACAGAAACTGTCATGTCAAGTTAAAAACCAGACAATTGGTTTCTTAGTAATTCTTTACAAATTTTACAGTATTTCAAAAAGGAAGCTGAGCCTGGATTATTCAGTACACGTAACTGTATACAATTGTTCTGACTTTGTTTTCCATTTTCATTACATTAAATGTTCTTGTTTGTTAATAGAGCCAAATCCACCACATTGATCTTATTACTGTGTCTCATTGTTCAGTTGTAATTTGAATATCAAGCTATGACTGGCAGCGTATGATGTCAAAAACAGAGGTCCGAAGTTCACACAAGGGCACTGAAGAAAACAAATTAGGCAATTTTTCTGAATTTATCTTACAAGTGAAGATTTTAGAATTCCCATTACTGCTGAGAAATGGCAGGGCAGAAAGTGTACAAAATATTCCTAGGTTCTTATAATACCACACCATACCAATTATTAGGCTGCACATATTTACAATGAAAATGTTTGTTAAGACATTTTCTTTATGTTCCAAGTGTCAAAAAGTTCCTTTTGAGTATGGGAGTATACCAAACCATCCTAAGTGCTTAGCAACAGTAAAAATATAAATTACTGTTCGTAAAAACACCAAATTTTTACTTTTTTAGTTGACACTACAGTATATACTTACAAATCAACCTACAATGTGTGGGTTTTCTTAAATTGATGACTTCTTAAATTTAGCTGGCAAAAGATAGGTTTAAAACAGGAAAATTCAGATATTTACACTATATATCAGTGAATCGTAAAGTTATATAAACACAGGCAGTAAATACCTATTAACTCCCTGGTTATACTGTGTATACATAAAGAAAACTAAATGAAATCATATAAGCAACAGATATATTCATCTGTAAGCACAGGCAATGCTGTGACAGAATAGTCTCCTGTTCTGTTGTTAAAATCTACTGCTCTGTGCATTCAGTTTAAACTTCCTGGAGGCACAGATATAACATTATTATACATATAGAAAAGAAGTGCTTACTTGAAAATATTTCATATATACACGTCTACCACCCCCAACAAAATAAAATAATACAAACTGGCTTATTTATATTTTTTTCTCGTTGTAAGTTTAATATTAAATAATACACATCAGGAAAAGAGTTATAAAAATGTTAGAATCATAACCGGATTTCAAATGTATGCATCCCTGCTATTTTCAGTTCTAATTGACTAAAACCTCAGACTCATCTGACGTTTTGTCCATCAAAGACAAACAGCTGCACTGTTACCATACCAGCATACACCAGCCTATGGCAGGACGAATTACCACTGTCTATTCGACTGGGAATTGCCGAAAATGGGAATTACCCCTATTTAATGAGACATTTGGATTGGATACCACATATTTTTATATTAATTAATTTCAATACAAATGTCAGATACAGGCGAACGATCATTCTCGATAAAATTAAGGTGTCAAACGGCAAATATTTTTAATACATTTTAATCCAATATAATACAGTATGTAAACTGTAGCAAACAACTATAAACCATTCTCCTTTTGCATATAAAAATACAAACATGCAGGTGAAAACACGAACCTTAAAACGACAGATGGTCCAACTTTAAAACAGATTTATAACACGGTCATGAATGTTTTGGAGCATACAGTATAAATTATTTAATTCAGGATAGCTTATTAACAGTATCTTTTATAAAATCGTATTATAATGCTGCGCACTGCATTTTCCTTAAAAGAGCCTGGTTCCCACACGGTACGTACAGGCACAACATTTGATATGAACTAATTATTTAACACAGCGATTTCGTTGAAAAATGTCTTTTTCAGGTCCTATGCATCTGTTGTACTGATAACCAACGTTATTAACCACAGTGGGATACGAATGACAGACGGATCAATTCACCGGGGAAAATATTGGGTTAATAACTGAAGCAGACAGGCCAGCTGGTACAGGACATATCGCATCATATCACAGACTGAGACAACACGTAGACAGTCTGTGAATACCCCACAATCCAGTCTTATGGGACACATATTGGAAGGTATGAATGAAAGATTTTTTAAAAATAAACGATTCTTTTCTGTTGCACGGAGAAGCTTTTCACTGCTCATTCCTACACCACCTATAGTGCTTGGTTGGGGAGGGGTAGAGAAATCACTGCGCCTTTTGCGTATTATGGGAATTTTCCTTACATTTATAACCCATTTAAAGCCACCCACTTCTTCTTCCAACATAAGCACCCGCAGCGAAATATTATTCGACCTCTCTAGAGAAGCTTTTCTGGTTCCTTGACTCAAGCACTACACGGTACCTGTTTTGTTGGAAACCGTAGGCCAGACACCATTCAGGAAATCAGCTGTTTCCCAGCCAGCGTTTTGTCAATTTCACAATCCCGGTTCCGCAACCTACCTATTTTCCAGACCCAGATTCCCACCGAAAAGCAAGTGCCAAATGTCGATATCACCATTAAAAATGGAAGTGCAACACCCCTCGCCTCTGGAGCGTGAAATCCGAAGCAACACAATCCTATTTTATGAAAGAATGAAGGCAAAGCAAGCCCAGGTGAATGACACACACACCCTCTCTCGAGCAGTTTGACTGCGCTGTTACGGCATTCTCAGTCTGCGCGATTGTCACAGAGCAAAGAGCAGCACCGCCTCCACCAGCCCAGCAGGTTAATGACGCAACCGGCTCGGAGCAGCCAAACCTAACGCCTAGGCTGCTGGCGACTGGTACCTGCCCTGAATTGAAGCAGGAAATACAGGTCTGAACACTTGCCCTAATACACGTCATTACGGAAAGTGGGCTATGCTTTTGTCAGAATGATGGTGTTAAGTGTTGTAAAGATCACTTTTCCAGAGTGAAGCATTACATCGTCTTGTGTTTTTTGTTTATAAAACGCGTTTTTTAGAAGACGGCAATAAAAGAACAATAACAACAATTTTATAAGCTAAAAACGTTTAAATGTATACATTAATTTGATTTATTTATAAAGGCCGACTGCAAACATGAAGAAAACTAATCTGATGTACTGGATTTAGTTTGGTCTTAGTCCAATTTGGCCTGTTTCACCACTTTGAAAATCAGAATTGTACAGATACATTAATTCCAAAACTCATTTCATCCACTGGTTCTATTGCAAACGTGGTATGTCTATAAAAATAAAGCAAGTTAGCTTAACATTCTCTTGTAAGTGTAAAAATGTTACAGCACACACCTAGTCAACTTCTTCACATAGCTCACCTATGAAGGCATGCATACTTTCAGCAACAAAAGGAAACTCATCCCACACCAGGAGAGACTATTCTGTTTTAAGCACCATCTCCATACAATATCCAGAGATCTAAATATCTACACTTGCATTTAAACAGAGCAAGAGAGAAGGAGCATGTATTTTGACAGGCGTTGGCTTAGCAGGAAAGGTGTGGATATTGTAAGCCAATCACCACCTAGATGTTTACAGTCAGACACATGGAACACAGCAGTGTCATTCCAAAACGAAGCACAACTCAGAGAACTCCATGATAAGTAAATCAAGTAGGGCCCGGTAATTCAAAGTGCTTTACATATTGAACCTCTTCATCCCCCACTGAAGTACAGAATCTACCTTGATGATTATTACATAACACATCAGGTAGAAATCTAAGAAACTGCTTCCCAAATATACTGTAACTGATCAATTAAATTTAGGGGGAACTTTAGGGAGGCAAGGATGTACTAGAGTGGAATATATACAGGACACCAAGGTTAACATCTCTTCCAGGGGATCTTCAATGATCAAATAATGGCTCCTGCTATGTCTCCATAGTGGGACATTAGTTTGAGAATTCTGGGCCACAGGGAAGAGCACCACCTGCTATTTTACCAACATCTCTTGCAGAAGGAACATTACTTTCCTTAGAGACCTCTCATCCTGGTACTTACGAGACCCAGAGGTGCACAGAGATCTGACAAAATCAGGCTACAATGTGTACAGTATGTTCTGACCATGAACAATTTTCTTAAAACCACCACTAGTGTTTACTACTATATAAACATATTGTTATTAATACAGCTTAGTTTGGGGAAAAGAACACAGCTTAGTTTCAGTGCCTATAAAATTGATCAGAATCATAAACAATGTTCACAATAATTGAAAGTCAATTATACAAACAATATGAACTGTTGTAGTTGAGATATCCCATCTCATTTTCTAATGAAATCAGACTGATTCATTGCCAGGCCTTCCTCATCATAAACATCATTTGTCCCTCTATATACTGTACATCCATGAAGCTAAAAGGCTGTTTTTGCTGCTACAAAATACAGGTCTATGAGAATTATGTGTTACTCAGCAACTCAGTTACTCAGTAAAAAAGGAAAACAGTGAGTAATAAAAAAAATGGAAAAATGTACATGACTTTTGCCCATATCTGTTTAAATTCTCAGAATTATGTGCCTTTATCACAATGTTGATCATTTGAAATAATGAGGAATACTCTACTTGTACCTACTGACAAATAACATGGTTTCTGTTTGTTCCTTGGATTTAATTACACAGTATTCCCAGTTATGACTGATTCCATATTCAATTGACCACACTTTAAAGAGCACAAAGCTAGTAAAGTTACAGTTTAATAGTTTAGAATAGTATTAAACTGTAGTAGTAATAGTAGTAGAAAAAGGGGAAAAAAACAGGACAAAAAACTAAAGCCTCTATCCTTTCCCACTAATAAGGTACTTTATATTACTGCAGCAAAAGCAGTGGTTATATAAGAATACAGTTTGATCTCCACTACAAAATATACTACTCAACATTTGCTTGTGATTAAGACTCACAATAAGGTGAATTAATCTAATTATAACATATCTGTAAATATTAAATATTTGTTAACAATGCATAAAGAACAGAATTATGAAATAATCAAAGCCGAGGTCTTGACTTATTGAGTATTTTTACAGCTCGCTATCACAGAAGGTCTGGAAGCATTGCTAAGGATACCAATCATCCTGGTTTCTAATTTTTCTCCCCCCTTCCCTCTGGTAAGCATTATAGGAGCATGAACGCACTCTAACCTTACCACTGGCTAACACTGATGTTTTTTTTCTAAGTTGTATGTTATTTAAGTTGATGTTGTTGCTGCTGCCGTTCTGTGTTTATGTTTTTAGTGATTCCTTTAATGTCTTTGTATTGGAGCATACATGCAAATATGCATATCATTGCACTTGACATATTATCATATGACAATAAACTGGAGTGAACTGACTCTCCATGGTCATTACAAATCCCAGGGCCTTTCTAGAAAACAGTAGGCATATTATCCTGGTGTCCTGTCCAAATTTTCCACCTGGTTTTTACCAGTCATGACCTCCTATGATTCCCCATCTATGAATTGTCTTACTCAGTTCTTACTCCATTGATAGCTGTTGTGTGGTGCGCATACTGGCACACTATGGTGGTAGAGGGGAGTCCCCATTACCTGTAAAGCACTTTTAGTGGAGTGTCCTGAAAAACAGTACATAAGTATAAATAATTGTGATTATTGTGAAACCTGAAGTAATGCAACATTAATGTCAGCTCTTTGGAGATTATGAATTTATTTGACAAAACTAAATGAGAAAGGTTATCTAAAAGGAACAATATCTGGGAAGGAGCTAAGAGCTCCAACATGGCTGAATTAGGAAGCAAAGGAAGAATTCAAAGATAGATAGTTCACCATGAGTGGATTGCGCTTATTTATTTATTGTTTTTACAAAATATACTTTATTTCTGTAGCTACATCTCAAAAAAAGAAACATTTTCACAATTGTAAAACTTTGCATGCAATAAAAAACACTCCAAACAGCGGTGATTGTCCGTTATCAATCTGTGCAGGTGGATGACGGGGCCGGATTTGCGCGTTTAGAGAGTCCCTCCAAGCCCTACCATTTGCTTGTGTCCCTTAATCCCTGTACAGGGCCCAAAGTCCTTTCCAGTGCTCCCTCGCCGTAGGGAAACCCCATTTGGTAACGTCGCGCTTCATCCTCCTTCTGAGGTCCGCCAGGATCCTCTCCTCCAGCTCCCTCGCTCCCCGCTCTGCGTTGTGCCAGATGAGAGTTTTCCTCGCGTTCCACAGGCCTTGTTTTCTGTGGGACAGCAGCAGCCACAGTAGGAACTACGTCCTCTTGTCCAATCCGGTTGGTGCCAGCCCCAGCAGAATGTACTGGTAACTGAGCACCACTCCCGCTCACAGGAGTTGCATAATGTTGTCCATTCTGCCCCATACCGCTTTGATGAAGGGGCAGCTCCAGAACACATGCTCCTGAATCTCCTCGATGAAGCACGTGTCCCGGGGACAATGCGGATTCCTGGTGATCGAGTGTCATAGAGGACCTCTCTGGTAGCCAGCCTGTTGTGTACAGCCATCCAGATGAGGTCCTTCAGTTGGTTGTCCAATTCTTTTGGCTGCGTCCTTTCCCAGACTTGTCTGGGAACCCGCAGCCTTTCGTCAGCGACCAGTTGCCCCTTCACCTCCTTGTACAGTGCTCTGTGGTTGGTGCAGAGCTCTGGCTGTCTCATGGCCTCGTACCTCCTGCTCCACTTGACAGCATGGGTGTAGAACTCCGGTTGCCTCTCTGCCTTGTGTTTGACCACTGGACCCGGTGCCCCATTGGGATGGAGAGCCACAGCCTGGCAAAGTACATCTACTGGTACATGTGGCTGATGGGCTCCCACAGCGCCCAACAGAGGTTGCAGAAAAAGATGCAGTCGAGTTTCAGGTAAACCAAAGGATGTCTGCTTTCAACACCATCACTTTCCCTGTGTAGGACAGCGACCACGTTTTCCACAGACCCAGCTTCGTCTTCACCCTGGCGATCCTCTCGGTCCAGTTGATGGTCTCATTGTCCTGGCTCTGAAAAGAAACCCCCAGTATTTAGAGGGGCTCCTTGCAGAGCTTGAGACCCTCCGGCACCGTCATCCTGTCCTTCCGGGGCCCGAAGAACTTCAGTTTGCTCTTCCGACGGTTGAGCTTTAACCCCGAGGCTCTGGAGTATTGCTCCATGACCTGCAGGGCCCTCCTCAACCCCCTGTCCGAACTCAGGAACAGCGTTGTGTCGTCTGCGTACTGGGAGATCTTCAAGGTTTGCCCCCCGCCTCCTGGTATCGCCAGGCCATCGATGAGAGGGTCCTGTCTCACCACCTCCGCTAAGGGCTCTGCGAAGAGAACATAGAGAAGGGGTGAAAGGGGGTAGCCTTGTCATACTCCGGATTCCTGGGGAATGAAATCCCCTAGGTTTCCGTTTACATTGACACTACTGCCTACGACAGAGTACTGTATCTTTATCTAGCGGCTGGAGCTCTCTCCAAAACCTAAGCATTCCAGCTCCCTGAACAGATAACTGTGGTTTACTCTGTCGAAGGATTTCTCCTGATCCAGGCTGACCACCATCATGGGCACGCTCAAGTCCTCAGCCCAAGCGATGGCGTCTCTGGTGAGCTGGAGATTCCAGCTGACGGATCTCCGTTCCACCCCACACATCTGGTCACTGTTGATGATCTGGGGTAGGGCGGTTCTCAGTCTTGCGGTCAGTATCTTGGACAGGATCTTGACGTCCATGGAGAGCATCGTGATCGGCTTCCAGTTCTTGAGGTCTGCGGCATCTCCTCCCTTGAAGAGCAGTGATATGACTGCCTCCACCTCTGTCT